CTGTGGTCGCCTCCATCGATCCTGTGAAGAAGCCGAACTTTTTCTCAAGCTGGTAGAGGCGCTTTCGCCAACGGCTCTGCAGGGAAGTCATATGTGTGTATATGAACAGCCTCTTGGCCCAACGGCACCGGTCCATGAGTCGAAGCCGCCCGTCATAGGAAACCTTGCTTGTCGCCTCCCTCGCTTCGAAAGACGACCAGCCCAGGTCCCCCTGCAGTGCCTCATTCGCCACCGTTCCATGGCAGCCCAGCGCTTGGCGTCCCACTTCTCATTGTCTGCGCTCCAAAGCGGTTCTTGTGTCACCTGGTACACACACCACTGCGTTGGCGAACGTCAAACCTGGCACCACCACCGCCTTCCACATTTCGCGGCTCACTATGAATCTATTACAGCTCCATAGGCTGTGCTTACGGAGGATGTTAGCTCCCCGTGTGGCGGATTGACGGAGGTGGACGTAATGCTCTTTCAGATAGTCTGCCTCATTGGACAACTCAACGCCCAGGTACTTATACTTATTCAGTACCGGTAATACGTCAAGACCCAATCTGAGGCTATCGAGCTTTTCTTTCTCAGTGCCCGCGAATTGTATCACGGCGGACTTGGATGTGTTGTACTTGAGACCAAGCACGGCAGCCTCATCAGCATATATGTCGAGAAGTTGCTGCATCGCCGTTGTATAGCCCGCCGTCAGCACAAATGTCGTCCGCGAAGGTCAGACCCGGTAGCACCCAGTTCACGGCCTCTCCATTTTCAACGTGCAGTAGCGACAAGCCCAGTCCTGATTTTATCAACCGCTCCTCTAGTCGCGTGACATACAATATGTAGAGAAGCGGCGAGAGTGGGCATCCTTGGCGCAATCCACGTGTTACGACGATTTCTTCTGATCTGACCTCTCCCACTTGGGTTGTCACCGTGTTGCCTGAAACACGGAGGTAGCGCCATCTATCAATAAGAGCGTCAAACACACCCCGCACCTCGACTTGTTCGTCTGCGTCGTCGCCCACCGTTGACCCAGGCAAGTTTCTTGGCCTTATTTTTTCAGAAAGAGAACTACGCTTTGTAATTTTACAAGAAAAAACCGACCTGTGAAATACACCTTTCACGAAAAGTTTAGATTGCTGCGTGCAGGCGTCGATTTTTACGGTCCATTTTAGATCGGGCCTGGTGACTTGAGCCACCCTATACATCTAAAAGGTACTTCAAGTAAAGAATAAAGTAAATTAGACATAGTGTACTTCAAGTAAAGTAGTAAGTACGCTGGGTGCAATGTACTTGAAGTAAGGTACTATAAATACAATGTACTTTCAAAGTACATGTATTTTAACACAATCGCCCATGATGCCCTTTCCTTCCCCTATACAGTGATTTTTCAACTGGTAAGCATTGCCCAGGAGTAATCAGGGCTGCATGACCTATTTTAAAATGCAGTGTCGAATGTTTCCTAAAGTGGCCACAGAGTAGTTATTTTCAGGAATTGAGCCAAATTCCTGAAAATCACTGTATAGTGATTTTCTTGCACTGGATTGTTGCACCCAAGGGTGTTAAATCTTCTAGGAGAGAGCATGACGTCAGCCCTGTAGCTTCCGCAAGCAATCCTCTCATGGAAAAGTGTACTCTCCTTAATGAAAAATCATTTGCATATTCAACATACCTCCCAAAAGTCCTTCAATTTAAAAAGACAAAAGAGAATGTCTGAAAACATTGTGACGTAGTTGTCTATTGTCTTTTTCTTCGATTTAAAAGTTAAATTTTTTTGCACCACAGTCTCAGGTGCTACATTACGATTAATTTTGCTCGCCTAATATTTTAAACCTCCTCCCTTGGGCTGATCTACCGAGAACTAGTGATAGTTAAAAAAAAAGCTACGAGTAAGCCGCCCCAAGAACAAACGGGGCAATACGTCGTCTGCTCACGTTTCTGGCAAGTCTAGAATATCCCTCCCAGTATTTCTTCGGAGTTGACAAAGCATCATTTCGTGATACAAATTTAACAAAACCAAATTCGGGGAATGTACTTTGAAATCAAAAATTGTACTTTCCTTAGAAAGTACCAGAAAAAAAAACACTTTAAGTACAAGTACATACTCAGAGAATGTACTTCAAGTAAGGTACAAGTTTCCTAAACCTACTTGAAGTATGATGGTAACACTGCGGTTACCATCGCACAGTCTAGTACAACCAGTGGTTACGGTGAGGTCTGGAGTAGGCAACACGGTAACAGTGCGTTTGTGAGCTTTTGTGAGTGTAGTTCTCTTCAATATTTTCTGCCTTGAGAATAGAAGATCGACAGTAATTTACGCAGTCCACTGTGCAAGTGACAAATGATGCGGCACATCCTGGATAACGTGATTTTCATTTGACCTTTTCATTGATGTTGAAACATTGACTGACAATTACGCTCAGTGTGCGCCGCCCACTGCCGTCAAACGGGGCAGTCACGAGAGTTGGCCAGAATGTATGGGAAGCAGCTGGCGTCGTCGCCATAATGTGATACATGTTTTCCTCCTTCTTTTCTTTCATTTTTACATACTTTCTGTAGTGTATATATTCTGTACATTCATGAGTCTGTTTTGTTTTTTCACATGTGGTGGCAGGCTAGCAGGTGCTCTGCGTAAGGGTTTTCACCTATCTGCCCAGCCCCGCACACCACAACATGGATGCTTCCAGTATGTGCAAATAAAATTATTATTATTATTATAACAATCCTGTTTTCGGTTCACAAGTAGTTTTGAGCCAAAACAGAACAATATTGGTTTTTAGTTCGCATTATTTTGCGATTTTCATGTATCTGCATAAAACTAAACACAGAATTATCATGCTCAATGTTGCACATCCGACATTTCTAACTCCTCCCATCTACCTAAACGTCCGTGTGTGACCTGACACCAGAAAGCGGAATTTTAAAGGTTAAAAGCGGCACGTTGCGAATATGGAACGCACACTTTCATGCAAAGCTGACTTCAAGTGACTCAAATCGAAAAACATGCATATTTACAGTATTACAATCTCTTCTGGAAAAGGCTGAGCAACCGTTGCATTCGTTTTCGCGCACGAAACGGTGACTCCCAGAGAAAATAAGAACGCAGTGATTGCCTTCATTTTAACAATGTAAACACACTTGCAGGCGTGCGCTGATGAAGCCTCAAAATTAAAACTCCCGTAGCGTGATTCATGACTGCGCCGGCTACTACCCAATCTCGTTGTCACGCCACTTTCTGCAAGCAGACACTGAAATTGCCAGTAAACACACAAAAGCGACACCGATACAATTATCTTGTAGAATATGACCTTATTTAGTAAAAAGCACTACATGTTGTATTTAAGTAAAAAAAAAAAAAACTTTTTTCGTTACAAAAAAATTAATTTTACCGTTAAAGGGATACTTCAACGAAATTTGAAATATTCCCGTCATGTTCAAAAATAGGTTGAATATGATCCACAATATTTGTAAATGACAATCGCACATTTGTATTTTGAGCCTGGTGGCTGTATTTTTCGTTATAAACGGCCCACTCTGGCAAGCGCTCGGAGAAGGCCCAGCGGAGGCCACGTGACATCCAACGCAATCGTGACGTAGGTCTCAGGACGAGCAAAGCTACGGCGAGGCTGACGTCGAGAGGATGGCCTAGTCGTTCCAGCCACCGAAGTGGCTGCTTTTGTACGAATTTTGAGCGACGGGTTAATCTTCTGTAATCTTGTATGGGGACAATAGCGACTTCTGCGACACACAAAAGGCATTCTCGGGAAGAGGGGAGTACCTCCTGCACCTCTTCTCTCGTCGTGGCCGGAGGCGAGACAACCTCCGTCACTAGCCGTCAAGGTTCCTAGACGGGCATTACAAGCGAGGCGTTAGCGACATCCACCAGGTGCTCTTTGCTAATCGTTTAATTCGTTTTAAAATTCCTTTTCGTGACTTTTTAACGAGATATTGGTATGTTCGATGTGATGCTGCTCCTTTGAACACATATAGACCAAAAAATGAGCGCCGAAATTTCGTTGTAGTATCCCTTCAAGTCTGGCAACTGTGTATTTTTGACGAATCTTTAGAAAAGTTGAGCCAAAGTTTGGCTCCGTTGAATCCCGAGATTCGGCAGCAAATTTTCGATTCGGCAAAAGTTCAGCCCATCACCAGTAAAAATATGGGACCCGGGTGGGAAGGGGAGAGGGGGGTCTGGTTTGCCCCCCCACTCAAAAGCAAGTTGGTACGTTATGGATTATTATATTGGAACGCAAAAGCCTTAGTCATCATAGTTCCAGAATGCAATGGCTTATGGGTCATAATCAGGGTGACCTGACGTCCCATTTTGGCCGGGACACTCCCATCTTTTTGTCCCAATAAGGAATCATGTCCCGTTTTCGCAGGAGTGCATAGTTTCGAAATTGGCTCAAAGCGAGTTGAAGCAAGCGGAAAGTATGCCTACTCGTTACAAGTATATTTTACAAAAATAACTGGAGGTACCTCAAAATATTTACCCAGTAAAATTTAGAGAACTGTTCTTGCCCACAAACACTTTTTTCTGTCGAGAAGACTCGTGTGTACAAATTTTTTGTTTGAGTTACTGAATACAGCAGTTAACGTTTCGAAATAGCAGTTCTTGCATTAAATTTTTTCTCCCAATTTTAATCTTTAGTACTCCACCGCCCCCCCGTCCGCCCCCCCTTCTCCGGGCTGGTATGTCCAGTTTTCTACCCTGAGGAATATGGTCCCCCTAGTCATAATGCTTACGCAAGCAAAAAAGTTTCCTCGTAAATAAAAATAGGCTATCCCACTTTGGCTGAACTGACCTCCTGGGCCCTAAAGTGCACAGAGGACTCGGGGAAGCTCCACGACACAGGCACGCAGTTTACAGCTGCGAGGCCTTCACCTTTCTATGCCAGTGGCAGCCGCCACTGTCCAATTTCACTTTGTGAACAGATCACTTTATGGCTAGAAGGATCATGGATGGGATCTTCCAGAAGTAAATAAAGATTAGGGATTCTCATTACCTACAACAAATACACTGTCACAGCTTCAACACAGTTTATTAAAACAAACGCATCACACTATTCCAATCTTACTGCGGTAGATGTTACGGGCTCGTCCCCCCCTACAAGGTACGCTGCGTTGAGGGGCGTGGTGCAGGTCTGCGATGTCTACTGTCAGATGAAGGAAACAAACTAAAAATTTTTTTGACAACTGTTTTTTAGATTGCACCCGTAGCCACATGGTTCTGGTCAGCGTGTTCGTGCATCATGCAGTTTTAACGGAAGAAGCGAGTGCTATAAAATAGTAATTGGTGTGTTCCACTTTGCAACTTTTAAACATCTACATGCACGTTTTCAGAATGCACGTCAACATCTCCATCACTAGTGATATACTCCTGCCCTCATTGCTTCGTACCTGTAGCCATATTAATTAATTTTAGTACACTGCCTCGTGTCAGTGAGCAAGCGCATGGGAAATCCTGGAGGATCTATCCCAGTCTCTTCTGCCACCCTGAATCTACCACCCTGCCATCTATAGAGCGTGGGAGGTAATTAGTTTCAGCATGGACAAAGCGAAATTACACCTGAAAATATTGTTTAAAAAATTTCCTCACATCTTGATGAAATGCTGCCGGGTAAGCAAGCTTTTGCCAGTTCGGTGCAAGCAGAGCAGCAATCACGTCACCAGCTAGAAGAATTAGAACTCAATGTTGTTTCATACCCACTTTAAATAAGGATAATGAAGACACACTTTGTAAGGACTGAGATTATATAAAATGTGCAACAATGTAGAATAAAAGTTCACTTTGAACTGGAAAGAATGTAATGGTGTTTGCTTCCAAGTATTTGAAGAAAAAAAAAACACCTGTAAAGTTCAAAGTGGCAGCCAGCAGTTCATTTCTTCCAAAAGTGACATTTAGGCCAATATCATAGGTTTCTTCAAATTCAGTAGGTACATAGCTCAGACCAGAACAAAAGTATTTACAAACATTGACTCCAAACAAAAGGCTCAAAATTAAAACCCATTACGATTGTGATAACCAACCAATTTGAGTAGACTCCCTAGTTGTCTTTCATCAGTGCAGTAATGCCAGCTTGAGGATGCTACAGTAAAAAATGGTAGGAGTGCTAAAGCTTATGATTTCTAGAAAATGCTGGCTACAAATGGAGCATCGAAAACTGGGTTGATGCACAAAGTGAAAAATTTAGTCGGGCAATTATAACAATTTATGCAAAATATATTCACGATAAAAGTTTCCAAAACTTTGTTTGACACAATATCAAACTGGACTCGCATAAGACAGTGAATATTTAAAACCTTTTGACCTTCACACCACAAAGTTATAAATCGAAGGTGAAAAGTGTCACTCTATGGTGGAACTCGAAAAGGAAAATGCCCATGCTCACCAACCGGCAATGTAGAATAGGCCTGGGAAATACGCTAACCACCACCACACCTTCGGACACTTCTCGTTGATACTAGATCAATGCGCTAAAAAAAGGTATGTAGGTAGAAAATCTTTTTTTAGCAGGCACACAACAAAACAAAACAAAGTCCCTGTGAATACTACTGGGCACAGATTCAGAGCTTGTACTGCTTGGCACAGTACAAACATTAAAAGGCTTAACTGTGCTGGCAAAGTTTCAAAGATCCCCCGTCGCAACCTCTATCAAGGCAAGACAGTTCGTCCCAGAGCCATCTGCATGCAGAGTTGTCTGGTTCAGTCCTCGAGGGTGGGTGGGATTTGTGGTCGCTGCGACGAAGTTCAGCCGTCCTGCCGCAGTGCCAGGCACTTTAAAATCTCTCTACCAATGGCACGCGCAAGTGGTGGCGGCACTGCATTGCCCACCTGTCGGTGCCTGTCCAAGATGGTGCCAAAGAACCGGTATGTGTCAGGAAAGCCTTGGGAACGTGCACACTCACGCACGCTGACGACCCGGTGCTGCTCGGGATGGAGCACTCGGCCCTGTTTGCCCATCGGCTCCGGATTTGTCACTGTCGTGCTGAAGAAGCCGTCCCAATCCAGCCGCCCGTAGAGCCCTGCCCAATGGTTGTGCCGGTTGCCTGTGTGCGGCAGGCACCAGGGGATCAGGGTGTTGTCCTGGCGGCAGACAGGGTCGCACGGTGCATCCTCCGCACAGGGGCACACGCCACGCAGTGCCCCCGTCGAGGACTTGCCGTTCTTGCGGTCATGGTGCGTGTAGCGCAGCTTCCTGGTGAAGGTCACCCCATCCGAGAGTCGCACCACCGCATTGGGCAAGTCGCGCCAGTCAGAGCCTGGCTCCAGTGGGATGTGACGCATCCGGGCCTCGACCAGGGGTGCCATTTCCTTGCAGACGTGGTCCCTAAGCACAGCACCGCCGCCCCGGAGTGTCCGCTGGAACGGAGTGAGCGCCTCCGCGCCGTAGGGGATCTCCTCACGCTTGGCGCCGTTGCGTATTTCTGGGAGGTCCAGCATGGCGTCCCGGACAGTGATGGTCCGGAGTGGTGCGGACGAAGACCACTTGCAGTTAGAGAGGTACTTGCGGTCGTCCACCACCACCGAGAGCTGGCAAGCGCGGGGCGCGAAGACGTGCTCGGGCTCGGGGTAGAGGGGCAGCTTCTCGCCGGGGGCGGCCGCCAGGATGATGGCCCTCCTCCGCGTCTGGGGCACTCCGTAGTTGCCGGCCTGAAGGACCCCGAAGGTGCACTGGTAGCCCATGCTGATGAGACAGCGCAGGGCCAGCTTGAGCACCATGCTGCGCTTGAATGAGACAAAGTTACGGACATTCTCCAGGACGAAGAAGCGCGGCCGGTAGTACTCGCAGTAGCTCAGGTAGGACGCGATGAGAGAGTTCTTGAAGAGGGAGTACTGCCTCGAGTTAAAGCGGTTCATTCCACTGAAGCCCTGGCACGGAGGCCCCCCACAGAGGACCTCCACGTCCCCCTTCTGTGGCAGGGTCTGGCCCCGCTCGTTGGTGCTCTCCCCATCCATGACGAGGCGCAGCAGTCGGTTGCAGTCGTCCGTGAAGATGGTTGCGTCCGGGAAGTTGAGCCGGAAGGCATTGGCAGCAGGTTCCTCGCACTCGATGGCCCAGCAGGTCTCGCTCACACCGGACTGGTGGAAGCCCTCGGACAGGCCGCCGCAGCCGGCGAAGACATCAAGGCCCCTGAGCTTCTGCCGTGGAACAAAGAACTCCTCAGGAGCCTCGACGTTGGCTGCCTTCTGGGAGCTCTTTCCCTTTTTTCCCTTGCCCTTGCCAAGGCAGCCCATCATGCGGGCTTTCGAGGATGGCTCCGTGAATGTCTTTGTTTTGCCGTCGTACGCCTCGCTGAAGTAGAAGCGGTGCGGGCCTTTGTGCAGGTAATCGTCTATGTCCTGTGCGAGATTCTCCCCGTAGATCACGTAGCACTTCCCACGCACCTGGCTCAGGTCCACCAGCGCCTCTTCCTCCGAGTAGTACAGGAGGTTCAGGTCGGCCTCGTGCTTGGGAGCATGAGTGTTCTCGGACCTGTAGAATTTTTTGACCAGGAGCTTGAACCGCTCGGGGCTGTCAGAGGTGTCGTCACTTCCAGACTTCCCCTGGATCGAGAGGATCTTGCCAATCCTGAAAGGCTCCGGAATGTTTACATTGGAGCCCTTGACATACTCCGAGCGCTTGCGGTACTGCTCCGTGTAAATGTCCTCGTCGACCTCCTTCTTCTTGGAGGACACGCTCGTCTTAGGGACGGCCTTCTTGAGGCTGAACTGGAACGCGTCCGGGTCGAGGTAAACGCACTCCCCGATGGAGAAGGTGTGGTCGTCGTAGGAGACGCTGGCATAACACCGCCGGCCGTTCTCCTCCTCAACCACCTCCCCAGGGGTTGCCGTCTCGCGCTTGCGCCGGGCCTCGGCCTTCTGGCAGGAGACGCAGGCGTGGCTCACTTCGTAACTTCCGGGCGGCGCCAGCTCGGGTGGGTCAACGAAGCGGGCGTGCTCGGGCTCGTACTCTTTTTGGTAGAAGAAGGAGCGGCCATCGTCCCCGTCTCCGAGCACGCTTTCGTCCTGGAGGCTGTGCAGGCCGCCCCGGCTGAACCAGTCCTTGGAGACCCCCTTACGCACGACGCTGCAGACATCGCTCACTGTGCTCAGGCTCTGATGCTCGCACTCGCTCACCGGGAACAGCTCCCGGGGGTCGGAGGTCTCGCCGAGGACCGTGTCCGAGCCGCGCCAGAACCAGTGGGCGTGGAACATCTTCTCGCCCGAGGGATTCTCAAAGAGGTAGACCACCCGGGCAACGTACTGGGGTGTCTTGGGGTCAGTAGGGGTCACCAGGACGAAATCGCCCCAGCGCAGCTCGCGGCCGTTCACGATGGCTTGGCCAAAATAGGCCCTCTTGCCGTGCGACGCCACGGGCTTCTCGTCGGCCCAGCGAACGTCACTGGAGCCTTTGCGGCGGGTGGTCTTGCGGCTGCCCTGGGCTTTCACCTGACTTGCCTTGAGGTCCATGGCGTCCTCCATCTCCTCCGTTTCCCCGTCGTCCTCCTCGGCCTCTTGGAAGACCTTGTTGAGGCAGCGCCGCTCCTCGCAGCACTGCTTGAGCCGGCCGCTGCCGCCGAACTTGACCTGGTCGCGGCACGCCTTGCACTTGCCGCAGTCCGGCAGCTGGCAGGCCTCGCAGACGCCGCACCGGTTGCGCCGAGTCGTGCCGGCGGCCTTGGCGTCGATCTGCTCCCTGAAGAGCACTTCAAACACGTCCCGGACAAGCGGCGTGGTTGTGGCCAGGGTGCCGACGGGCTTCTTGGGCACCGCGTCGCGCCGGCCGCGCCGCATGGCCCTACGCTGGCCCAGCGTGACTCCGGCCAGCTTGACCAAGCTGCGCAGGCACGGGGTCGTGATCAGCGTCGTTTCATCGTCGTCCGCGGTTACGTCGAAGCTCTGCACCTGGTCGACCACGAATTGCGCGTTGCGCAGGAGTGCGTCCTCGGTGTACTTGCCGATCCCCTGCGGCGGCGGCGTCAGCTCGAGCTTGTTGAGCAGGTCCTCGTACGTGGAGTTGGGGTCCCTGACCACGGTCTCGATGACCAGCTTGCTCATGTAGATCTTCTCCTTAAGCGCGTCCATGAAAGGCGCGTACTGCTCGCTCGGCGCCATCAGCACGTAGTCGGCATACGGGGTCGTGAAGCCCACAACGGCGCTCTCACCGCCGTCGAAACCGGCCGTCCACCAGGCGCCGATCGGGCCCAGCGCCTTGGTGCAGATGCCGCCGTCGGCAGACGGGTCCTCCGCGTAGATGGGCTTCACGTAGCCGCTGAAGTATAGCTCTACCTCGCGCTCGATGAGGCCGCTGTCGAGCGGGCACAGGTGCGTGTGCTTGTCGTAAACGCAGAACTGCGTCACCTTGTGCTGCGGCGTGTCCATCACGTCGTCGCCGCCGTCGTCCGCCTCGTTGAACACGTTCAACTTGGGGTCCGTGAGCGCCAGGAACTCGTCGACGGCGTCTGGCGGGTCGCCCTCGAACAGCCGGATCTCGGAGGCGTCCAGCACTTGCCGGCAGGCGCTGCACCGCGTGTAGGTCACGGCAGGCGTGTCGTCGCCGTTGGTCGTAGGGGCCTCGCTCTTAGGACGCTTAGACATCTGGTCGAACATGTCCACTAGCGAGCGCTGTCCGCCCTCGTCCTTAGAGCCTCGCTGCCCGCGTTTTCGCTTGGCCGGCGCCTTCGCTCTGGCCGCTGCTTTGTCGTCGTCGTCGTCGCTCAGGGTAATTGTAGCCTCCCGATCCCTCGCGGGGTCCGGCGGCTCGCTCGTCGGCATCTCGTCGTCCGACGAGCCGCGACTCTTGTGTCCGTTCTGCTTTACCTTGACGGCGCTTACGGGCGTCGAGCTCACGGTCTTCATGGCTGTTTGTGTTTGCGATTTCCCAGTTTTTCGGTACTCGTCGAAAGCAAAGTTGCGAGGCGGCAGCTGATGGCGCGGGAAAAAACACGAGAACGATTTCCCGCGCAAACTTGAGCGGAAGTACTGCTGGCGCCGCCTGGAACCGCCGCCGCCGGAACGACGGCAACGACGGACCGACGCTGCCGACGCTGCCGACGCGACGGCAATGGTTAAATCTACATTGTATCTCTACCGATAAAACCAAATAACGCCGACGTCCGCTCCTATTTCTACGTATCTGAGTAGATTTTTAAAGGATAAATACGCGCCACTGATATTAAACTCGCTCTTGTCGCAAACTTTGGACTGAGCGCACTGAGCGCCTTCGTGTCGTCATAGCAACAATGGCGCGCACCCGCAGATTGTGCAGATTGTGGGTGAGCGAGAGGAGCGGGTTGTACCGGAGGCACAGGTTGAAGACATGAACGATGAGCTATTTTTTTCTTGGCAATGCAGTGGAAGGTACAGGCCCGCGTCCCCTCTCCCATTTTGAGTGCACGCAGGCTCTCCCCCTCCCCCATTTTTGGGGAGAGGAGGAGAGCCCGCGCACACTCAAACTGGGAGAGGGGACGCGGGCCTGTACCTTCGTCAAACGTGAAAACAGCGCAAAAAATTGAACAAAGGACAAGTGAAAGGAGTGCACGGACAAAGCGCTGCGGTGGTAAGTTGGGCTAGTTGGTTTAACATCGTCAAACGTGAAAACAGCGCAAAAAATTGAACAAAGGACAAGTGAAAGGAGTGCATGGACAAAGCACTGACAAAGCGTTCAGCCTTTCACTTGTCCTTTGTTCAATTTTTTGCGCTGTTTTCACGTTTGACGATGTTAAACCAACTAGCCCAACTTACCGCCTGTACCTTCCGCTGAATTGCCAAGAAAAGTTGTCGCGGAGTATAGGAATGGGTGAAGCGGGCCGAACTTGATTGAAGCACAGTGCCGAGCTGTCTGTCCTTAGGGGCAAGGACAAGCCCAGCGCAGGTTTTCACTGGCTGCATCTAGCAAGCAGGCTCTGCTGTTGGCGCCTTTGAATCGTCATATCGAGAGGGACAGCGAGAGATTCAGAGGCACAAACGCATGCCTGTGCCGAAAATTATAGGCTATATCGACCTCGTCGTCCACTTCTGCTCAGACGCAGTGGCGGATTCAAGAGAGGGGTGGGGGGGCGACAGGGGCTGCCCCCTGCCCCCCCCCCCCCCCCCCCCCCCCCCCAGGAAGAACAGATAAAGGGGGTAGCATTGCAGGGCATGCTTAGGACAGAGGCTGAGGAGAGGGCGCACCTAGGAGTGCAGTGGGAAGACATGAGGGAGTCAACGTGTCACTCTTGAGATATGTAAAAGACTTTGGCAAAAAACGTTCAGCCTTTCCACTCTCGTGAAGAAGGATACACTGTGTGCTTCTTCGTCGTCGTCTATTTTTCGCGCTGCTTCCTGCGATGAATTCCCACCGTGTCCAACTATCCATTCTTCTATTATAGCTGGAAAGGTTGCCGCCATCTACGAGCAACGGCGGAAACCATGCTGGTTGTGTGCTTGCCGCCTTCACTTATAGGTGGCGGTAGCTGTCCAGGTAGGTTAGTGTCAGCATACACGGACACGATCCTGGAGAACCTATCCCTTAACAGCTCCGCTGTAAAAAAGGAGGCGTCTATCGTCCACCCTCTCGTCACGAGCACAAAGATTGCAAAAGGCGGTCGTGGGTTGCACGTTGCATGCAACAGCATGCAAGCTGCAACCTTTGACGTCGTAAGCAAAAAGAAACAGTGATGTCAATGTTTGTTTTTGTTTGTAGCTCCGCCCTCCGTGCCCCGATCCACCTCCCAAAAAGGCGACCCCTGTATCCCTCATGTCACGTGACGTGATCTGCCGGAGTAACTCGGATCCATATAAATCTGAGTTTTGTTGCCTGTGGTTTTAAATCACAAGTTAAAGTAATCAAGGGGGAGCGCAGTGCAACAAAATGAAGGCGACCTAAGAAGATTGCTGAGGCCAACGACACTTTTACTCGGGCGTATTGTGAATGCGTCGATGGCGTCGATTCCACTCCGCCTGCAGATGTGTTTGGCGATATAGCTTACAAGTGTCCTCTGTTTACGTACAAGCAAAGTATGTTTTAGTTCAACGTGATCTGAAGCCAGCAGCACTCCGTCGTACTGTGCCCAGCACGACAGAGTTGCCCAAACTAAACATCGCCCACGTTAACTATCACCGCTTTTTCTTTCTTCGGGCCGTAACACAACCGACAGTATGGAACACACCAGTAGTGGCCCATACCTCAAGAATCTTGGTCGTCTCCGGCCACCAAAACACGGCAAGAAATGCCTATTTTTGTCTGCTACCGTGCCAAGTGTCTCTGCTCCAAGAATGTTCAGAAGCGAAACAAAACGAAAAGCCGAGAGCTCGTTGGACGTTTCACAGACTCCGACTTCTATAACAATTTGCTTGATCGCGCATCCCTGCTTAGTCGCTGCAGCACAAGTGCTACTACCACAAGTTCCATATCGGCATCTTGCGTGACCGGAAGTCTACCTTTTGGAGCGTTGCAGGGGCTGGGCGGCAGCGTACTAAAGACATGTTTTCTGCTCGTTCACTGTCATTCGCCTAGAAACTTTTTAAAACCTTGTGTAAACAGTTGTAGTCGAAATTTTTAAGAAAGTGCAGCACCGCAGGAAAAAGCAACTAGTCGAAGGTAAGTCTCGTGGCAGAAAAGCCGGCGTCAGTGGGACGGAAAAAGCCAGATTGGTCGATGGGGTCACGTCATGGCTACACGACCTCACACGGGAATTTCAAACAACCCACAACGCTCGCGTGAAGTTACGCGTGGAATGGAAGTGATTAAAACATAACGTATAATGCGATTTAAAGTCGCCGCATGTCTTAAATGATTTCACTTTATAAAGTAAGCAAAGAAAAAATTTGAAGAATTTTAGGCGGGATTCGAACCCTTGACTCTTTGGTCGCAAGCCAGACAGGCTGCTGACTAGACCACGCAGACGCTTGGGAACAAGCGGGAGTTTAGGTTTAGCTATCACGTTTCACTCTTAAAGGAGTCATGAAACGCTTTTTCAACTTTTTTCTGTTTGGCTTTCCTACTCAACTCAAAGATCGCGCATTGTACCAAACAGTTCAAGAAGTCGGAAAGAAGGGAGTCCCCTCTTGCTCGGAATGTCGCTTGTGTAGCCCGGACACAGCCATTGTCCCCCTAGAAGATTAGCCCGTCGCTCGAAATTCCGACTAGTTGCTTTACCCACCCCGTTCACCCCGAAGCTGACAGTGCTGTGGAAGCTACGTGCTCGTTGGGCCAGCCACACATTTTCCACGTGATCACGCCCTCTCGCGCATACCGACCCGCAGAGAATGAGGTCAGGTGATGAAAGGGAGGCGGCTGATTGGTTCGGCAAGCGCGTAGCTTCCACCGCAATGTCAGCTTAGGGGTAAAGGGATTAAGTGAGGTCCGGTGTCGTGTGACGTGCGCTTGGGCCCTGGTGACGCGCTGCGGGGGCCCGGTTATGGTGGCTAGTAGCCCGGTGACGCGCTGCGGGGTCCGCGGATGTATCACAGTGAAAAGGCGGAGAGTTTACGAAGGGAAGGAGGTACGAAATAGTCCGCTATGTTTTGCAAATTTTTGTAGCGAAAGTCAGGCTTCTGACTTTCTACCTTTGTTCTTTTAGACCACTGAACGATGTGCTATTAGTAAAATCCCAATAAAAATTGATTTACTCCAGCCCAAAATTCGTTTCATGGGTCCTTTAAAGGGAAGTTGAAACACTTCTTGAAAAAACAAGCTAGAGGTAACTTCTGGCGTATTTTTATCCCGTGAATTTGATTATCACGTTCGTTATCTTCCAAGATGTAACTATATGCGAGAAAACGCGAAAAACCTCCGACCAGTCACGACGTCATACTGGGATATTCGGGCCGTCAAGCGCGTGTTGCTCGTGTGGGCAGTGCATGCAATTGCAAGCTTGCTAGGTGTATTGCCCCCGCACCGACACCAGTCGTGACATCTCTTTCCGACCTTTTTGAAAATAGCGAGTGTGCGTGTATAGCTTTGACAGGCGCTGAAGATGCGCAAGATTTAAGATTCCGAAAACTCCTAATGTGGTGTCACGCCCCGGGAAGGAGGGGCTTCAGCGGTACTTTGAAAATTAATTTCTGAAGCCTCCGTGCACCTAATAAAAAAATAATCTCGATATTCGTGACCCCGGATGAGAAATAATTTTGGTGTTTTTTCTCTAATACAGAGCTGCTTCAGTTTTCCTTTAAAGGCAAAGCTTAAGCGTTTTCCTGTAATTTCTTGCTGCCGCAGAAAGAAACTGAAATATGCCAAGGAAACTAATAGTAAGTAGGTTGCACATGAAAGTACCAAGTCACCCTGAAAATTCAGCATCCACAGAGCAGAGCAACTGCCTGAAACTCTTGTTGCAGCTTGGAACCTGCGTGCAACCTGCCATTCGGATGCAACATTCTGCCGATTACGATTATTGCCAAAATTAACTATATGTGCAGAAAAAAAAAAGTTTAGATGATAAATGTGATAACCCAGGCACAAAGCCAGGATTTTGGTTAGGGGGGGGGGGGGGGGTTGTCCCAGCAAAATGGAAGATTTCGGGGGGGGGGGGGCCCCGGCCCTCTCCCCTGGCTACGTGCCTGTGATGACCCAATTAAAGGCACAAGGTCTCCTTTCGCAGCTCACCAATCCAGTTTATACCTTGCCCCGTTTTTCAGTAAGAGCTTTCAAATTAAAATGCTAAAAGCGTTACCGACTGAATTGCACACAAAAGTGGTTCCCAAAAAGTGTGAATCTACTGGTCCGTTCCAACAGCGATCGTGCATCTTGCATTCCGAGGGGAAGCGAAACCCCATAATGCCTCTGCCACTCTTTTGCCACTCCTCAGTTACCAATTATTGCTACCACAGGCACAAACGAATCGGCAGCAGTGTCGGTTTCCGGACACCGAAAAACGGGTGCCATTCCAACAGCTCGGCGTGAACTCGACAGTCTATCATCAACGTCAAAGACGACGTAGACAAATAAACTTGAGCTTGCTATTGCAGAAACACAAATTACCCAAAGAGCAGTGCTGCGCTCAATCTACGAAGCAGCCATACAAATCTTTGCACTTTCTGAATGCACACGTACCCAGCCGCCTGGAACCGACTTGGTTTCACCAACTCGGGTCGCCTTGACCAGGCTGCTGATCAGGCGAAATCCTATCAAGTTACAGTAGCAACCTTGCACAGATTTCCTTATTTCCTCAAAAACTAGTGAGGATATGCACACTCTCCTTCACCTAACTTGACTCACCTACAAAAAAGTGGAGGACCACACTTTTTACTGTGTACTCTCGTACCATTTCTCAAGTTCGTTTTATGTCCGTAGTTGTGTGGTTCTCCAACCGACTGTACTAATAAAACTATTACCAAATGGTTCCCCAGTCACACCCAGAGTACTATAGTAGCACGCAAACCTTAAGATATGCAAAAGCTTCCTGTGTTAAATGAATGCATTACATGGTAGTCAAGGGCAGGGCAAGCATGCTTGCAAGTGCTGGGGCTCAACTTGGTAGCTTCTCCCAACCACAGAAAAAAATGGTGACATTTTCTCATTAAAAAATCAAAAACCCGCCTTGTATATTTAATGCATGGTGGAACTTCGGAGAAATGCGCAACCATCCGAATATTACCATACAGTACATGCCGCATTGCAGAAGCAGCATGTAATGGCCATTGTATTCGACCCCTTTTCTCGTTGCAATATTTTATTTTTCAAAATCTGCTCCGACGCACTCGCACACACGCATGCACACGCAGCATAAAAAGAATTCTATCAAAAGTAGACATGAGGGAAGATTGACGAGTAATGAGACTGCTGCTGTTTAGGTGGATGGGCAATCTTGTTCCGAAGCTTGGGAATGCCCGAAGCAGGACCATTTTTAGCGTAGTGTTGCAGCAAGGCACCTCGCAGTGTCATCATGGCGGATGAACAAGACGTGTTTGCGAAAGTATGGCTTCATACAGCCCGGATTTATCGCCCTGAAAACTGCAGCCATTTCCAATGCTAAAAAAAGATAACTGCATGGAAGCAAGTTCTCTTCGTACGACGGAGCGAACAAAGTTGCAGCTACAATGTTGAAAAAGTGGTGTCGCAAAACGTTTTACGACATTTCTCCGAAATGTTCTCGAAAAGTTCTGACCAATGTATCGAATGTGAAGGCTGCCACCTCGAAGAGCAAAAATGATCGGAGCCTGTCGAGCCGGCCGATTCTGAATAAAAAAAATAGGTCTCATTACTTTTCAATTGGCCCTCGTAAATAAATATCCGAGTCTTGGGGTTCGGTGATCCTGTTAATAAACCGCAAACAAAATTAGTGTACATAAAATGTTAGGCCTCATATCTCACACTGGCAAAAGAGTACAGCACCGTGCCAGGGTACGTGGCCACACCCGAACCTTCTAGACATAAAATGATGGAATGACCACAATGTTAGCAATGAACTGCTAAGCCTGTTCACTAAAAAGAAATATAGTAAAAAAAAAAAGCCCAGCTAAATTACCTGTACAAAGAACAATACATCAACTGCGTTTGCTCCAACTTGTGAAAGGATCAGTGGCTCGCCTCAGCACGTGCAGTACAGTGAAACCGACTGTGCCAGTTGAGCAAAGAAAACGCTCCAAACGGGTGGCCGCTATCACAACAACCCAATGCCAAGTTGCACCCTGGCTGGCAAAAACGCCCATGCGCCGTGCGTACGGCAGTACCAACTCAAATGTGGGTTCTCAAAGGCCGAAACGTTTGCTCATCTCACAGGCCCATCCCTCGAGGTTTTCTCCCCGGCATGCACAGGGTTGATTGCAGCAATGCGGAGAGCAGCTAAGGTTCCTCGGCAGTCAAGCCATACAGGGGCAAGATGAGAAACGAGCCCCGGTTAAAAAAATGCCCCTCTCTCCATTTGTACAGCAAGAAATCGAGAGCTGGGGGATATCACCGTGGCACAGAACAGTCGAGCCTTCCCATGTTTGCATGTACATCATGACTAGAAATTGCATGCTGTAGCACAAACATAACATGACGAAGGAACTTTGTCGATTCCTAGAAACTCGTCAAAACATTCACATTTCTCGTCGCTCCTGCCGTAGACAAATTCATGTTCGCCAGTGTCGTGAAAATATCTTTTTAGCTTTAGTATTCATACAAATCATGGAAACAGCAAGTCCCACCAAACTGGCAACAAAATGCCAGACGTCAAGGCATCGTAGATGATAAATAAAAGCACCGCGACGACCTCAACCCAGAACTGGGGCGGAAGAAAAACTTTTTTATGGTGGTAGAAAAAGAAACTCCGCTAATGATTTTATTTAACCACCCTCCTTGTACAGTATTCCCTCATTAACTCAAACTTCACTATCCCAAAATGTCGGTTAAGTCGAAAGATTTTCTTGTCATGGAATCAACTACCATAGACACAATGCATCTGCTCATAGCTTATCTCGAAAAAGCTTTCAGGACGACCTCGTATTTCTAAATGTGGACATTACAAAAAAAAGAAGAAAGCAGGCAGGGCACAGCAAAGAATGAACTGGTGGCCTAAAATTTGGTGAGGAAGGAGCAGCAGTCCGAAAACAAACACAAAAATAAAACAAAATTGCGAGAAATCGCACAAGCCAATGCGGGGGAAAAAAAAGTCCTCTCTTACGCGTGGCAATGCGCCAAGCAGGGTGCCCATCAAGGACGTTTATTGTCTTACTTTTTCGTTTTTTTCTCCCAGCTTGGCAGTTTCTCTCCCTTGCCCTCAACGTTATCTTCCTCTCGTCTTTTCCTTTTTTTTTTCCAGTTTCGTTTTTGCTTACCGGTTTTGCTGTTCCATCTTACGAGCGTTGCTTGGTGATAATTTGGGTGGGGTCGTTTTGTTCTCCCCACCCTGTGAGCGTCAAGTTAATTGCTGCGATTGTTGGAAATACATTGTACTGATCGCAAAATGCGCAATCAGTGCAATTCAAATTCGGTATCTCGCTTATCTCAAATTGCTTTCTAGTTTTTACGACTTCGAGTTAACGACGGTTTACTTACACAGATCTGCTATGCCACACTGCGGAACATCCCATTTTTTCGGGGCCAATGCACAGAACCCACACCCACATCACATTGGTCTTGAAAAACGGTATGTTCCACAGTTCTGTGGCGATCTGCGTATAACGTGGGTGGTTAAATAAAATCATTAGCTGAGTTAGAGACGTGTCTCTTCCCATTTCTTTTTCTAGCACTGTCAAATTTTTTTTCCTCCTCCTGCCCTAGTCCCGTGTTAAAGTAACCATAGTAAATCTTCCACCAGCTTGCCTGCACACTGACTGCATTTTCGTAAATAAAAGCAGCTTGTATCTTGCATAAAACTGGCCCATGACCATAAAAAGGGCAGGCAGCACAAACAACATTACAGCAGAATCTCGATGATAAAATCACGGCTGATCTGAATTTCGGGATGACAAAAAGTTTTTAAAAACCCCGAGCGAGAAATCTCATCTGTAATGTGCTACATTTAGGGATCATGTGAATGCTCTCTCGGGCCACGGTGGATGATATGAACAAAAGCACCAACCTCAAGGAGGTTAAGAACGACTCCTTTGTGCAGCAGCGGCAGTCACGGCCAGCAGCCGCGGCGTGAGAAATAGCGACTGCCACAGGGCCATAGTCACCACGGCTAGAAAGGTATGGCCAGGGTGTTCTACTTTAGCCCTAGCCAAGGCTCTTTAGCCACGTCTGGGGCTAGGCTAGAGAAAACTTTAAAAATAAAAAAGTTGGCCGATCCCGGAAGCAGTGCAACACTGGCGGTATTGCACTGTCTCCAGGATTGAAACAAGCTACTCATCCAGAGTCATCTGGTGTCACAGAGTATGTACGCATATTTTATTGCCTTCTTGGAGCCTGTTTTAAATGATACGATTTTCGGATGATAAAAATATTTTCCGCGAAAGATTTGTATCATCGAGATTCTACTGCGTATGAAAAGCCTAACCAATGGCAGGGAACCAAACAAGGAAGCAGCAGAATCAACCCCCAATGGCCACATGATGCACTCTCTCCAGGACATCCAGAACTGAAAAGCCTAACCAATGGCAGGGAACCAAACAAGGAAGCAGCAGAATCAACCCCCAATGGCCACATGATGCACTCTCTCCAGAAATGACGAGCCTAACCAATGATGGGGTACCAAGCAAAACAGCGTCAGAATCAATCCCAAAAGGGCACATCATGCACTATCTCTAAAAGAGAAACGTGGCACCAGCCTGGCTGGTTACAAAGCACTGTACGCTTGACCGAAAACAAGTTCAACTCTAGCAGAAATTTCACAAATCATTGCATAAAGTATCCTGCGGGACACCTTGAAGTCACTTTCTGGCGTGGCTTTAACATTGTCTATTCATACAACTTGTACAGTGGCATAATGTTCAAGCTGCCTCGCGTCGTCGGACCAAAGCAAAACCCAAAACACAGAGCCAAAGCAACTCTCGTCGACGAGCCGCGTCGCAGAGAACAGGAACCTCACTTCTTTTAAAACGACCACGAGCCAAGATTGGCGACAGTTCACAGTCGCTTTCCAGCTTGGCAGGAGAGGCAGCTCTGCATCGATGGCACGAACAACGACCATCGGTCGCATAGCCGATTTCCCCCAAACGAGTCGTAACCTGGTCCGACCGTATTCCGTGGCATCTCCGAACAGGCACTGGAAAAAACGACGGCGGTAACCGGGCAAAGTCCAAAGAAGCCGGTTCTTCGAGCTGCAATCCCTCGTAGACGTCGAGAAGAGGCAGCCCCGAGTTGAGTGCAGCCCAAGAGAAGAGAGGTAACCACCGTCCGACGTCCTCCGTGGAGCGAACGCACCGGCGGGACCGGAGAGAAGCGGCCCGCTCCGTCAGCTCTCCTCGGCAAAGCGCACGTCGCCGGCTTCCTTGCGGACGGGGTGCGTCGAGGGCCCGTAAGGTCCCCCGAGGAGGATGCCCGTGCTGACCGAACGGTCGCGCCGCCTGCGCAAGGCGTCCTCCTCCCTCGCCTCGATGTCCTCCCCAAACACCTGCTCGTTGATGCCCAGGTCGTTGAGGCTGACCGCGCTGTTCGAGAAGATGGGGCGGGGCTGCAGCGTGTCTTGCAGGAGCTGCGCCTGGGCCGCGATGTCCGCCAGGCTCGAAGAGATGCTCGGGCTCGGAGACTGCGGCTCGCTCTGGGCGCACGGCGCGAGCAGGGTGCCGGGCAGGTTGTCCAGGCTGCACCCGCGGGAAATTTGATCGTTACCCCCCCAAGAAATACAAACTGTACTCGTTGTACCCGCTCGAGTGCCCGTCGCCTAAGAGTGGCGCTCCTAGTGCCATTACACCCACTATAGGTCATAAAAGGCAATGAAGATCAATACTACAGCACAATGCCAATGTATTCCGACGGGCGGAGGCAAGTTGGGCTGCTTGTAATTTATAGTTCCAAAACAACACCGCAGACAGTGCTCGTTACTGGAAAGAGGTCCATTGGGTTTTTGTTTTCATTCTGGTCGGATTGAGATTGCTTTCTCAGTGAAGAATTTCGAAATAAACTGTGAAAAATAAAATATTATCCGCTCCTTTCTGCACAGCTTGGAGAACGCACACTAATTTGTTTTAAGCCAAAATAAAAACAAGGAAAACATTACTGGAGGATAAAGAGTAACATAATTCGATCAATACCGAAAAGTCGTAACGAAAATATTTTACTCGTTAGTCATTTAGAAACCGAACGAGTATTTTCGAGCGTCACTGAAAAAAGTGTAGCGTTACCAGCATCGTCGTTACTTGCGACACGTTACTTCCAACAGTGACTCAGAATGCCAGTACTCTTGTCCCCTCAATTGCATACCTGACAGTCCGTTGGATAGCGTGCTCATTTACGCACGCTATCCAACGGACAAGAAAGCAAGTTTTGCACATGCATAATTCGTAAGCTGCCCAAAAAAGTTCTCGCAACATTTGGTTGTCATAAAAAAACAGTCATGCTTTTAGTATCTCAAATGTATAGCTCAATAATACAGCAAACAACTGATCTTAAATGTGTGTACAAGTATGCCTCAATTCCCCGCAAAAGGGGGCAATTGGTGATGTTATGCAGGAAGCCTAGCATTTCTTACTCTGCTTCTCAAGGTAAAAACGAGTACAGAGCTTTAAAAGGGCCCCGTCAATGACAGACGTCGTTTTGAAATATTGTCGTGGATGGAGAAGGCTCGACGAGAGTGAACCGAAAATAAAGGTTCAATCGGCAAACTTATGCCAGAAACAGAAGAAAGAATAAGCGTCAAGGGGGCAGCAGGGAGCGTCGACGGCGATGTGTACGGGAGGGTGAGACGGCGAGGCCACGCTCTGTCGGCCCAGCGGGAGATAAGTGAACGTTGCTAACGGGGAACGACAGACAAATTCGGTTCGTTGCTCCTCCCTGTGATTGCGAGTTCTCCAGGTCACAAAATCTAATACTAGCACTTTTCAACTCTCTTTTTTATCACACACTGAAAAAGTTAACCCACTCCTCATTTTCACCCCATTTGCTTTCGATTTTAGGCGGGCTATCTGTCGGGAGATTACAATAGTGGATCTAGTGGGCCCAAATAACAAAAGCTCAGTACGATTACTATTTTTGTGCAGACCCTGAAGGAACCGTTGCAGCCTTACCAATTAAGAAAGACTGGAGCATTTCTTATCGTGCAACGCGTTGTGGAATAGCTGACACAATGAGCTTTCTGGACTCTTCCAACAGAGTGTGCGGGGAAGGCAGACAACAGGAAGAGAAAGGGTGCACCGACCTCGCCCGCCTGCTTGAGGGCAGGCTCGTGCACTGCCTCGGGGCTGGGACCTTCTCCTTGACGGACTGCCGGTGCTGCTCAATCAGGGTGCATGCCCTCCCCATCAGCAGCAGGTTGATGAGCACCTTCAGTGCTGTCAGGCTGGAACAGGTTGGACACCATTCAACAAGAGTAAAACGAGCACCTTCAACCCTTTCAACCCTGCTCTACTTAGACACAATGAGAAAAAATAAAACCAAAAACTCAAACTCCTGAGACTTCTCCATAGGCATCGTTCCTCTGGCTTTCACATGCTCTGGATTGATGCAAAGTGACAACCAAGATGTCGGAAAATGCACCGCAGAAACCCACAATTAATGCATATTTGAACCATGTCTTCCGGCATATAGGTCGCCTTTTTTCCCCAAACGTTCTGTCTGCAAGTGTTACACAACGGTGCAACTTCATAAGTTTAAATGCCCAAATCTGACACGGAGGTTGTAACGATGGGTTGCCTGTTTTATGAAGAGACTTCCCCGACGACGGAGACCAATGCTTAGGACCTACTAAAGGAGCTGGCCAATGGAACAGAAGAGACAACGTATACAATAAAGAAAAATGCAATCCACAGACATCTCATTTCTGTGTTCCGACATTATCAATGCCTCATCATTCGCCTCTTCCGCAAATCCCAAGGATCGGCTATTCTTCAGAGTTACAGAGAAATACATCTGCAGGCATTATTTGTATAAATACCCCATTCTCATTAGATAAAGTTGATGAGAACACTGAAACTCTCTCTCGCCTGCGCATATATTGCAACACTTATACATTTTCAATGCAGTTTTGCTGAGCCGGTTGTACAAACATATACAGGGTGCAGCTGTAAGGACCATCAGATTTGGCACGCCTCGCAAAATTCAAATTCCAAATCTACATACTTAAAATTGACCATGTGAAAGTAGTTTTGCAAGTTTTATGTCTATATTTTCAGAGCTCAAGTCAGAAATGATAAAATATTAAAAATAAAGCCAAAACGGCGGCCGTGCGTTTTCTCTGCCCCATACCGAATGTTCGTCGTCTGCACAATGGTTTGTGAGCTTGCTGCCAGGTGGTCATTGTTGATATATTTCGTTAAAACTATTAATTATCGCGATTATCCTGTTCATTGCCAACCTCCACTATTGATTCTTAGCCGTTTTGCGTTCAGCACGCCACCCGGGAGCGAGCTCATAAACCGGTGTGCAGATGACAAACAGGCCGGTATAGGACATAAGAAACACATGGCCTCCAATTTTGCTTTATTTTTAATATTGTACTACCTGAGAGTTAACCTCTTCAAAAAAATAGACTAAAGACTTGTTGCAAAACTACATTTGCATGCCCAATTTCAGATATGCACGTTTGGAATTGGATTGCTGCGAGGCATGCCAAATGTGTTGGTCCTTATGGCTACACTTTGTGCGTGTGAGTCCTTCAGAGGCGAGACTTGTATACCAGTTCTTTTCTAAAAAACACTCATTTATCAGGGGGCTTAAATCTTTCCTGACCACGCCCATAAGCCATGAATCACCCGTGATTTATGGTTTCCAAGCACCGCCAAGAAATTAAATTTTGTGCGGAAAAATATGTTCCACAATCCCATGGGTAGCCGAAGAACTGTATTTTCAATTTCAACGTAGGTTTGAGGTTTATCCCAGGCTAGTAGGCTGTCAAAAATAGTCGTGGAAATGGTGGTTGCACTTGTCTAACATGGCTAACTGCTTGCATCAGTCCTTGTAACAAAGATAGCATTATTTACATACAGTATTTACACGAATGTAGGATATCATCGCCGACAAAAACGAAACAATTGCGATATTAAGAGAGTTCAGCCGGCTGTACCTGTAACATTGCCTTATTCTGTGCACTCATTTTACCATTTCTTTTCTATATATTTTTTGTACAAACAAGTATTTTTGATAGCGATTTGAAAATGATCCCGAATGTACGGCGGTCAACGGTGCATGGTGCGCCCGACTCCCAAAGGTGGCGGCTGTAACGAACGACCTTAGTGGCCGCACCTGGACACGGAACGCCACCCGTTCTCCAACATTCCCGAGGACACGCCTTTCGTCGACAACCTCGAGCCACGATTATTTGCCCCGCTGCCCGGGTGAACATCCGTACCCTCGACAAAAGAGGAAGACAAGCCGGCATGGATATTGGCTCAAGTAAGGTGCTGAAAAGGAAAGGTGTCTCCTCGAGGCATCCAAGCAGGAACCAACGGCCACGGGGATCCCTGCTAAGCCGGAAGAGGGAGATCAGTTGTGAACGAGAACTGCCCAGTTATCAGCGTCCAAGGTCTTTTCCTTCCCGACTAAGGAGGGGGACAGTATCCTCTGGGCATTCGTGCCCTCTTGGAGTCAACAAAACAATTAACCTGTGTGTGCATTTATGCGTGCTCATAGGCGGTGCCTGGACGTTTGGGGACGACCTTCACGGTGTCACCTTGACGTAGAATCCAGGGAGCAAAGCCAAATCTCAAGCGTCCCTGAGGAAACGGCTGCCACTACAAGCATTGAGGAACCGGCGGAGCAATTATCCTGTGTGTGGTTGTGTTCTCATGTTGTTCTCATACCGAACGGCAGACTGTACATAGAATCTAAATAAACAGTTTGAGAAGAGACACCCTGGCTCGCTACCAACTCTGCCCGATGTCCTGGGCGACGCATGGCTCCAGCGAAGATCAACTTCATGGACAAGCCCCGAGTCTTTACACGGCACTCCATGTAATGGCATATCTAGGTCCACGTCACAGTGTCTGCACAAGTTGCTATAAAAACTGCTCATGTGTCCCCTGATTAATAGTTCACATTAGACAACTTCTCGGCTCGATAAACAAACTTTATTTTCGTTTTGAGTTGTCACGCGCTGTCTAAACAGTCCATGATAAACAACGTTATTGAGGGATAAATAAATCATATCACACATTTCACAAATGTTTCATGTGTGAAATCTCTGCTTACAATCAGAAGGCCTATGTAAAAAAAATGATAAAATATCTGCATTTTATTTGTAGCCATTCATATAATAAATCATAATTTTATCTTGCATTATATCTCAATTAATTTCTGATAATTAAAAAAAAATGTGTGGCTTTCTAGAATATGAATTAATGAGGGTCTACTGTTTTCTTAGAACTCTTATACAAATGCCCCTAAAGGTTGTAAATAGTTTGTTGTTTGTAAGCTCATCTCAAGGGGAGCACATTTAGACTTTGCGTAGATTCACAAACAGACTGTCTCCAACTATAATTTGTAAAGCTCGATTCATGAGGCGCGATTTCATTTGCAACGTCAGCATGTTGCTCGGTCGTCCGGGCTGCAAGACAAGTGAACAAAAGCTGCGGTGCGTGACATCGCAACTCAAAATCGTGAGCAGCATCGAGTTATGTGAATCGCGCAGTTGCGAAAAGATGTTTTGCAGGCGATAGTAATACTAGTTCGAGTTTAACCTTTGCGTTTAAAATAATGTTGTCAAACATCAGACGCATTAGAAAAACACCATGTTCTACAATAACTTATTGGAAGTTGTATACAGTAGAACCCCAATTGTACGACTTTTGCAGGACCGCGCAAAAGTGTTGTGTAATCAGTGAATCGTATCATCTGAGAAAAAAAAAAAACAAAAAAAAAACAAACAATAATTACGGATAGTGTGATTGGTCTTGCGCGAGAAAGACAAGAGGTTTTAAATGATGTCTCAGCTAATAATCTGCTGTAGTTTGATGGGATGAGAGGAGCAAGGACGCAACGCGAAAACACCGAGGCATTTCACAACCCGTGGACGAGAAGGGAAAGCGCATTCTCCTGCTCTCTCCCGGCACTGCGGCTGTCTTGGGTTGCCGACGGCGTGTTTTTGAACCCTCTGCAACGGCGCGCAGAACTCTTCCGCATTGCCATGCCGCCGCCCCCCTCCTCATGCAGCTGTTGAATTCGTTGCGCGTTCCACGCTGGAACGTCGTATGATGCGGGGTGCGTAGAATCCCGCGTCGTGTAGACCAAACTTTTAATACGGTATTTCTATGGGGAATTCGTTGGGACCGGGAAAATTAGTCATAAAATGCGGGATATCGCATAAACCGGGGACGCATAATCGAGGTTCCACCGTAGCAGTATGACGGCGCAGGAAACACAGATCCTTTTTCTCTTGCTCATGGTTGAGCAGGAGCGCATGGACATGTGCTGTGGTCTTTATGTGCGTTTATATGTGCTCATCTACACCATCACTATAGCGACTGTGAGGAAAACGAGAAATTTGTTCGAAAAAGAACCACAGCTTTTGATTTTTGGTGAAACACATTTCACTTGGGTGGGGGAAGTGCAACCACCGGAATAACGGCCGGGGTGAGAATTGAGAACTAAATTGCCCTTGGGTAAAAATTCACAGCACCTACTAGTTAGAAAAAAATACACTGACTACAAGATAATGAAAACATACGCAAGATACAGTGCTGAAAGCGGGACCCTTTTTAGCAGGTTTTGTAGTGGGCAAATTGTTTGTTTGGAGAAGCCAGTGACACTTTTAGAACATCTGTTAGCACATCACTCGAAAAAAGATTATTGCATCGCTAAATAAATTTGCCTTTGGTAATTGAGGGTTCCCCTTTGATTCCGAAGCATATCACTTATCACTCTTCGTAATGGGAATACAGACGACGCGAGAGGAACACAAAGGTTTCTGTCTAGAAATGAGACTCTGGTCAGGGTAGGTTTCATTTACAGTGGAGCAAAAAAGGGTCCAAAAATGAATTGCAGCACTCGAGTAGACATCGAGTCTCTGTCCCCCCTACTTTTACGCCGCAGTTTATTTAGCCCGCAAACGGCGAAATAAAATGCGGGCAAATACCAGCATATCTGCTAAAACGTCAACCCACAAAAATGTTTCCCCAAATTTTCTAAACCTACCAAACTCCATACTCTAGTACGATAAATTTCAAAAACAACCGCCCTCTTCATCGTCAGCCGCATGGACAATATATCGACCACCGTAATTACTCAAATACAGATCAGGCTTTCTCCCCTTTCTTGGCGCAACTTTTAAAAATTGGAGGTGAATCTAGAATTGAGACCTGTAACAGCACCAAGCATCCTTCGCGAGCCCGTTGCACTCACCCTGTTGCTTCTCCGCATCGGCCCCAAGCACACCGACGCAAAGCAGTAAAGCTCAATGCACGCGCACTGCCAAGCGGTCGAGGTCCACACCCACGGCGCAAGTGCCGTGGTACACTGTAGTCGTGGCATGGAGGCAGGTGGCAGATGCGATACTACTCGAGACTCGTTGGGAGTGCAAGACCCCACTTCGTCGCAGTGGCCATCCTCCCAATGTTTTGCAAACATGTCTCGCCACTCTTGGTTCCCGACATCGTCCGGGACACCAACATTAAAATATTCTGGCGGGCTAGTTGGTTATACATACCAAATTACATGTAGCGCTAGGACGAGGACAGACGAACAAATAGCACCTGTCCTGTCCACTCCTTCGTCTGTCGTCATCCTAGCGCTATTTGTAATTTGGACACCAACATGGCTGGCGCAGTTGACGAGCACGCAACACACTGGAATTCCTTCTCTTCCCTTGGCTAAACCGATTGAGCGCGGCAAATGCTCGCGCCTTTAGTGCTACGTGTGTCCGTGCCCATATGCGTTCGAGACTTGCACTGTGTCCAGACCTACGACGAAACCAAGTACACGAAGAGTAGAGACGCCGTAAAACAGGTGTCTGTACCGTTTTCCTTCCCCTCTCCAAGTGGTAGGGTAGACCAATGCTAAAATGTTACTTTCTCAGTACGGTGACATTCTTAGAGGCCCTGGGATGGTTCTCCACCTTTCGAGGGTGGACTATTCGGCCCCCAAGCTCCAACAAGTTCTAAGCAGCGCGGCGCAAACTGCACCGGCGGCATGCAGCTCGTGCGCCAACCGAGGCCCCGACAAAATGCACCAAATATGGCGCAATCATCCGACGAGTAAATAGTGACGCCGGCAAAACTTTTGCAAGAATTACACGTCCCAACGTTCTAGTTGAAAAAAACAATCGGTCAATGGGTGCGAGAGAACGGCAGAGAGACCGAACTCGCGAGCTTTGCTGGCAATCTGGCGGAAAAGCACCAATGCCGGGCAACGTACCACAAGTAGACGAGGAGCCCGATGAGCAGCCCCATGGAGCCGCGCACCTGGACGGAAGCGCCTATGATGCGAAGCAGCAGGGCTCCCAGCGGCAGGGGGATGAAGCCCATCCGACGGGATATCAGGTCCGAATGGTCTGAGTACGCCTGGGGAGATGCGCACCAGTCACTTGGGTCAACCAAATCGCGGCCGACTTGTGCAGGCATTGCTCAGCAGCTCCCACCTAAAGCAAGCTCCTTCATAGGGCAGGAAATCCACTGCGGCTCTCTGAAAAGCAATCTTGTGACCAAGTGTCTCGCCCGAACTGCACAAACACAAACCCCTTTCTCTGCCCACCAAAATCCAATGCGAGAGACTACATCTGCAATAAACGGAGCATAAAATTAAACTTCAGGGTAGGGGGAGACACTGGTCCTGAAAGCAAGCTTTTTTTTTTATGCGAATATTTTTTTATTTTTATTTTATATACCTACAGCGCCAGTGGCATGTTTTGTATTCCCCTTTTCAAATATCTAATTAGTCTCAGGATACATGAATTAGTTCCAAAGTTAGAAAAATATATATATAGTCCAATTAGGTCATTTCTTACGAGTTGTTAAATCCTTTTTCCAGAAAAGCTTTCTGTTCCGAATGCAGGGGTGGAACTCATGAAATGTACTTGGGAGCAGCCACGGGAGCAGCTGAAACAGCTGTTTTGCAGCAGGCTGGGAGCAGCTAAAACTACATTCTGGAGCAGGCTAGGAACAGCTCAAATCAGTTTTAATTGCACTTCAGATTGTGTCTTAGACAAGCACAGGAGCAATTTCAATTGTGCTTAGCAGCACAGATGAGCATGAGTAATTAGGAACCTATGTAGACGGGATAGCAGTGTAACAGGTGCAAAAACTTGGCCTCAGTGAGAACCAAAAAGCAAGTACCATATGTTTCCAAAAATAGTGTCCTTGATCTGTTCCGAGAGGCTTTCAGCTGTTCAAAATGCAAACCAGCACTGTTTATAGCACGACCCACACATGCTCGTCATAGTAATTATATGTGCGAACCACATGACGTGCGTAAGCAACAGACGTGCGTAAGCAACGGACGTGCATTTGCGTGGAGGAACAGGGCAACAAATTTTGAGTCTATCCTATTGTACAACTGAATATCAAACCATCAGACTACGATTAACAGAGTTATCATATTCGAAACAATGAGCCAGTGCAAGATTAAAGTATGCCGAGCAGATATACCGCTCGTGTGAGAGCTGCTGGCCGGCAAGGACTCGGATCGGACAGCATCTCGGTTAAATCAAATTATGATTTATCTTGCAGGAATGCGGTTCTAACTTCTAACGATGAAGAATTAAAGGGATCTTTCGCTAATGTGTTTTCAACTGGCTGACATCCAGAACCCGGACAGCAGACCCTCAGGCTATTTGACGCTTAACAACTCGACCTCACCTCGGATATAAGAATAACAATCCAGTCGCAGGTGATGTAGCACTTGGAATATGACCACTGAGTTTTTTCGCATGCTTCCGACTCGGGATACACAGGAAAAATAAACGGAACAAAACATTGCAAGGCCGACCAAGCTAAACGCGCTCATTGTTGCCAATCGAGTTGATAAAACCCAAAACCAAGACAAAATAGAATTATTTTGGCGCATGTTGTGCGATTCGGAGCACAATGGCGCAAAGTATTGGCTGTGGCATAGTTTCCGCAAAATGCCGCAGGATGCTCAAAATGGAGCAAATGGTGCAGCCGTTCCACCCCTGCGAATGACATAGATTTGTAGCTAAAGACCTCCCATGCATTATAAATCAATTTATATTCATGCTAAAGCTACACCATCAGGTCAGATTGCCTAATTACATGAAACATCCTAATTATGAACTACAATGAGCTCACGGTATTGTTAATAAAAATGTTTGACCAGTCAGCCATAAAAATAACATAAAATACCATAAAATTTAATTATATCATAGAAGAAAAACCCTACGAGAAACCCCGTAAGGCAAAGCATGTTCATGTTGACAAAAAAGACTAAGCTGAGAAAATCACTCGTAGTTTTGACACCGACTGGAGAAATGTGTAGGAAAAACCTTTTTGCGATAACTTTTTTCAATATATAGTGTAGTTCTTCCTGTAGAAAACTGATATAAGTAAAATAATTGGTTCATGGGAACATTAACAAAGATAAAGATACACAAAATCTAATGAATCTCTGGTATATGTGAAAAAGAAAAAGGTTTTCAGTATTCAGTACACTATACTTTGGACAACGGGAGTGAGTAACAAGAATTAATGCTCAAAAGCCAATTTGTTTTGGCCCTCAAAAGGGCTTTTTGCTTGTGTGGCTGTCCAGGGCTGTAGCCTTGCGTGGTTCCAGTCTTGTGTCACTTGGAGGACTTCTCTTTCACACTGCTGCACCTCTGGCGTACTCCATATGCCTTATGCAAGTGCAGACTGTCTTTCTCCGTGCTACGCACCAGCCATATAGCCCAGGGTTGCAGCGATGGACTGGATGGTTGCTCGACTTCCTTGGTTGTAGACTGCAACAGCTTCAGTGGCAGCCCTTTTCATGCTGTCCATTCACATTCTTCGACGTCTGCATCCAGATGTCAGAATACAGACTCACACTGGCATTTTGCATCTTCCCTTCACTGCACCTTGCCAAGAGGTCTTCGTTGCTAAGACGTGCAACAAGGGCTCCAACGCAGACCGAACACAGTCCAGAAGACGAATTTTCGATGCTCACTGTTCGCCCGGGCTCTGTTGTACTTGTACGAGAATTCGGCTCTATCAGGGCACTTGCTGCGGTTATGGGCACTGTCCGTAGACGTCATGTGCAGGAGAGTGGCTGCCAGTGCCTTCTTCATTCCTTGAACGTCGTGGCTGTCGCTCCTCAGGACATAGCCGTAGTAATTTGTGATCTTCTTGATTCTCTCCTGGGTCAGTCGGCCCTTTCCACCCAGTGGCTCCCCCCCGAGCTCTTTTCTTGTCAACGAGGGAGCACAAGGCAGCCCCCATCCGCTTGTGGATGTGGTTGATACAGTCCTCCTTCTGAATCTTGACAAAGCCGTAGACTTTTGCTTCGGACGAGGCATGAATCGTACGGCTGTCTCCATCGGAGTGTAGCCCATGCACAAAAAGGGACCTCTGGAACACGGTGAGTGCTGCTTCCACCTCCGTGTGACCAGCATTGCACCCAATGTTCCTCTGGCACTCCTGGGACACTTACCAGTCATTATACCTTTTTTCCTCTGGCTGTGGTCCAAGGGCACATCCAAGGCAGAAGTTGGAGTACATGACATGATCGACGACCAGGCCGGAGTACAACTCGACAATACACCCCACACCAATGCGAGAGCCGCGTCCTCGGGTCATCCAAAATCCATCGAAATAACAATAATGTTTCCGACAGGGGTTCAAAAAGTCCGCTTGACTGCTTTCATGCTGGCGGCTTCAATATCACTTGCTGCATTCTCAGAAGCACACATCCTGAAGTTCTTGTCGTGTAGACCCCGGTGGGACAGGTTCGTGGATGCACAGAGGTCTGCAAGGGCTGTCGCTCCTTTGCCAATTGACAGAACTCCCTTCATGGCACTCATATTCACTTCGAAGAAAGTGGATGCGGCCTTTACAGCTACTCTTGGGGAAAAAAACTTCCTCATTCGGAACTCACAGGCGCTAAGGACGGGCAGGAGCTTGACCGCCAAGCCATACTCCTTATCTGCGGCCTTAGTGAGTGTCAGTATTTTTACGCAACAGCTACCACACTTCACCTGCATGAGGAGGTCGCTCAGCACCTTCGTGTCAACGACAATGAACTGGGTCCCAGCATTGCTTGCCTGACATCCCGTATTGCCGCCGAGGAGCTCGAACTTGCGTCGGGTCGCCGACTTGTCCAACAAGGCCTGCTGGCTTTCGTCCAATTGCTGAATACGTCCCACGGCAAAGTAGCATGTGGAGTCAACACGAACCACATCGCGATGGGCCCAAGAGACAGTCCGTGTTAGAACTTGGTCCCGCACACTGTGGTTCTGCGATGCCTTCATCAGGTTGCAAGGTTGCATTGTTGATCTTCACGGCAGATCCCACAAGTCCGGCGTTGCCAAAGATCACAGAGGCGCACTTGCAGTCGACACCTGCTTCTTGTTCTGGGCTCGTCTAGCCGTTCTTCCGAAAGTTTGCCGCATACTCGCCTTAAATCGAACGTCGCTCGGCATCTCAACCGCTCGTACCAACCAGCAACAACATATACCACAAAGGAGAACCAAAATGACACGTGTTCGACCACAACGAAAACAAAGCAGACGAACTGCAAAGGAGTGGGAAGAGACGAAGCTTCCCCGGCGGGCAAACAGTGAGGAAGTAAAGAGAAGCAGAGAGGAGGAAAAAAGAAAAAGAGCGGAGGGACATGTCTTGGCCTATGACAGGAATGCGCGGTGTGACGAGGGCAGTGACGTCTATGCGTCAGCCAATCAGTGATAACTATCGGGACCTGGAAAACCCGCGGAATGCGGATATTCCCTGACGTGTTCGTAGCAATGAAAGGCATAGGGGTGAAGGGAAGAGAACCAGCTTTCAAACAATGCCAAAATGGCCGCGATCGAACAAGCGGGCTTGGATCGGCGCAGGCATGGATCTGTGTGTCGTGCATAGGTTGGCTAATTTTTGTCTTGAACTCGTCATATGAACGCTGTGATGGTGTCATAATTATAGCTTTTTTCGTACTTAGACACCAAATTAGAGGTCTAAATTTTGCAGGCACATAGTTTGAAAGATATTCAACCTAGATATATGGTTCTGAAGAAAAAACAACTATAATATTGTGATTTTTGTCTATTTCAAGACCCGCACCTCCTTTTAAAGGGCAACTCCGCTGAATTCCGAAGTTTTCGAGATAATGACTGATTTTGCATTAAAAAGCACTAGTAAAAAACACTACGTCATTCGCTTCACGAAAAATGGTATATTTATTGTTAAATCTTTAAATACAAGCAGAAATCGAAACAGAAAACAACATTGGCCGCAAGCCGCCAAGAACATGGCCATCACGTGGTACGAGATGTCACGTGATCCTGTACGCAACGACAGGTGGGATTGGGGGTGAGCGTGTGCCAGGCACAAGTGTCGTTTGCACCGCACTCTTCAGCAGGTTTTGCTGTCTATGACATTCGACGATGTCTGATCAACAGCCGCTTAAGTCTGCGCATGTAGTGTCCGTAAGGTGAGCAAAACTCCGACAGACAATAATCACAAACGGTGAGATGACAGAGGCGGTTGTGACGCGGGAGACAGCAGTAACAGCGGGACCAGAGGCACCACGGCAAAACGGCCTAACGGCTTCCAAGAAGCACGCTGTGCAAGCTCACTATGCCAGTCACGTGGACACCGCTGAGTGTAGAGAGGAAATGTTGCTGACATCACCCGTTACGCTTGCCTGGAGAAGTAAAAACCAGCAAAAAGGGGCAATGGTGATGATGTTTAGCTCAAAGTTGGCAACGCCCAAGCCGTAGCCTTGACCGCAGAGTCTTGGTTGTCCCTCGATTCGCCCACTCGAGTCAGCTGATTTTGGGAACTTGTCGAGTTGTGAAGTTTGCCGGATCGTTTAAGAAACATTTAGACAGAACTATGTCGTAATATTTGATGTGCGGCCTTTCCTGGGTGACACAAAAGAGGACTGCATTGTTTTTTCAAAAACAAAATTTAAGCGGATTTGCCCTCAAAGTTTAGCCATCCTCAAACCAAACATATTTTTACAATTGGATCAAAGACACCATATGTCACGAAACTTTCTAGTCTCCTTTCCTAAACACAGTGGGCTGAGAAAACAAGAGTTATGAGAAACCCTCTAAGGACCCAAAACAGCCACTTGTTTAGTATTGTTATGCCATCCATTCGCAACACCATTTGAAAGCAACTTTAAACCTATACAGTCGACCTCCGTTAATTCTATCTTGACGGGGCATGCAAAACTAAGTTGAATTATCTGAAAGTCGGATTAAAAGATGCGTGCAAAATTCCGAATATCCAGCGCTTTAGGTCAGATGGGCTAACATTTTTATAATGAGCCACTGCAAGGCGCAGGCCGCAGCCGTGTATGTCCTTCGCGCGTTCGGTGTGGCGGCATTGCAGCTCCGCCGTGGAGCAGCGCTCGCTGCTCCACAGCTGTGTTGCAATGGTTGTTTTGTGTTGAGACCCAGCTGCGTCCCGTGTCTCAACGTGCGCTCCCCTTTTCCTCTCTTTGCGATTCAATGCGCGCTTCCAAATTTTCAATTGGGTTTTTTCGCCAACCAGCACGGCCGATCGCAATCGTAGGTGCAACTGATCGCCAATCGCGGCCATCATGCCGGACGGCAGGTACAGCTGGTTGAATTAACCAATATTTTATACTTCAAGATTGAAAAACAAGTTGTTTTTCTTTTCTATAGAAAGGTATGGGCTTTTGCCGTGACCATTGAACAGGGTCAAATTAAACGATAGGTTGAATTAACCGTGGTCGAATCAATGCTAGTTGATTATATCTCGCACCGCTTTGACACCATACTTGTAGGAGACAATAAAATCAGACTTTAAAAAAGCCTGTTAAGTGCCAATATCTACAAAATGATCTGGGGCAGTTACTAATGTTAATAAACAACACTTTTCATTGACAAAAGTCACAATTAACTTACATTCTTCAGCTTGCTGCTGGCCAAATCGTACGCAAGGCTGGTAATGTACTCCTTGTACACCTGCAAGAGAGGCATCGTTTACTCTTTCTCCGAGTCGCTACCCATAAACCTCCGAGATGTTGCGCTGTCTTCACTCGCCTCGTATGATATCTCGTTGAAGCGCGTCACAAAGGCGTGTTTGACCCAGTCAACCAGAACCTCTGCCAGCATCACCATCATGCAGTCTGGCAGCAGAGTCCAAAATTGCTCTGCAAGATTGCATCATTCAAAAATGACTTTAAAACAAATGACCTCAAACAGTTGCAGCACCCAGCAACCAGTACAGCTGAGTCCCAGAGAGCCTCTCACTTTTTATCCAAGTTAACATCTATGGATAAAGCATGGACGCCCTTCGCAACACCGCATTTCTTCAGCTTACAAACGAGCACAATGTGTCAACTCATACAGACCGCCAATGACTGCATTCTACACGAGCAAAGTAACAAATACCCAAATTGAGAAAACGATTCTCCAAGAAAATGCAATCTGCACAGAAAACACTAAAATGCTCTCTCTGTCATTACTCTACAAACTCGAAGATTGGGCATGTTGGTAAGGCATGATGACTAAAACGTACAGCGCAAACAGACGGAACAGAAGAGAGAAGACACACAATCGCTGAGCTTACAACTGAAGTTTAATTGTCAAAACACAACCCTATATACGACGACCAAACAAGAAAAAGGCACACATGCACCCAATGACACACCACCAGATCCTGGCACCATCATCGCGATTGCTGTCGTCGTGCGAGAAAATTTAACTCTTTACCAGACAGCGACACAGACGGGGCGCTTGCACCATTTTCCTTTAGGCACTCAATCATCTCTGCTTCGATGAGTTCTCTGGTCAGGGCAATACCGCTTCTTCCAATGACTGAGCATTTTTTTAAAACTCTGCATCACACCCACAGTCATGACAATGAATGCCCAAGTGTCCTGACACCACCCTGTATGGATCGCAATCATTCTCTCTTAACCTATCATTCAGGCATCTGCCAGTCTGTCCTACATACCACTTACCACAGGAAAGTGGAATGGAATAAACTTCATCTGTTCATTCGATCAATCAATTTTGATGTTTCTTAGTACAACCCAGAGACTGTAAGATTGACATTTCTGCAAAGCTTAGATAACTTGGTAGGGGCAGAAAAGACAATGATGACGTTGACTCACTTTCCTGTTTTCTTTAAGCCGTGGGAAACTCTATGCAAATGCGGAACCGCAGCAATTTTGTTTCTGTTTTCTTTGGAAACGTCTACCATATCTATACTGCCTTCTTTTTAAATTTTATTTAATAAAGTGCCTGCAACCGATGTAAGTTGGTGTTCCCGATGCTGTGCTATCCAAAGGCAGAAAACTTGAGCATCAGAGCTAACCTGTACTCGATAAGAACAGGACTTCTATATTTTTTGCAGCAGATTCGCACGGATGCAGAACTTAAACGATTGTGCACGGCAGACAACAATGGCGATGAGGTCGACGAGGAGGCATGGGGTCAATAGTAAACATTTAAAAGAGATGCGATGTACCAGAAATAAAACTGTTTAAAATGGAAGCTTGGACGTGTCGGTAAGGCATGATGATTAAAGCCTACAGTGCAAACAGACAGGACAGAAGACAGAAGAAATCGTAATCCATCGATCATGGGCTAGCTTTGAGGCTCAAGTTTCCCACCTTCGGATAGCGGGGTATCCGGAACACCTACTCACGCCGGTCTCATGCACTTCACTGAATAAAATTAAAATAGAAGGCGGTATAGACGAGGCAGACGTTCCCAAAGAAAAAAAGAAACAAAGTTGATGTGGTTCCACATTTGCATAGTTTCCCACGGCTTATGAAAAATAAAAAAGCGAGTAGACCTCACCATTATTTTTTCTTCTGCCCCTAACAAGAAAGCGGGTAGACGTCACCATTATCTTTTCTGCCCCTAACAAGCTACCTAAGCTTTGCAGAAATGTCAATCTTACAGCCAGGGGGTCTCTGGGTTGTACTAAGAAGCATCAAAATCAATTTGTTGAATGAAGAGTTGAAGTTGTTTATTCCATTCTGCTTTCCTGTGGTAAACGGTACATAGGGCAGACTGGCAGATGCCCGATTGATGGGTTAAGAGAACATTATTACGATGTAAACAGGGTGAAATCGGGCCACTTGGGCACTCATTTTCTTGTCAGTGGATGTGGTGCAGATTTCAAAAATTGATCAGTCATTGGAGGAAGCGGCAATGCCCTGAACAGAGAAATTGTCGAAGCGGAGATGATTGTGCGCCTGAAGGAAGACTGTGTAAGCGCCCCATTGGTGTCACTATCTGGTAAAGAGTTAGATTTAATCGCACGACGACAACATTCGTGATGACGGTGCCGGGATCTGGTGGTATGTCAATGGGTGTGTGTGTGCCTTTTTCTTCTTTTTATTGTTTGGTCGTCGTACGTAGGGTTGCGGCTTGACGACTGAATGTTGGCTGTAAGTTCAGCGATGGTGTCTCTTCTCTCTTCTGCCCCGTCTGTTTGCGCTGTACGTTTTAATCATTGTCTCTGCTATGCTATGTTTCATCATACGGGCTACTATTCAGGTTCCCATACAGGTCTTGCATAAAAAGTGCCCAGGTTAAAAAAGATTAGAGTTGATAGACACCATTTATGCCCCCTACCACCACAACTTGAGACAATCAATAGCGGTGTGGGCTTAAATGGGAAGTCTGCCAATTTCTTAATAGTCTTTGATATGACTGGAAATTAACCAGCCGCATCAATAACCCTTTCTCAACTGATAGCAAAAATATTTTATAAAAATAAAATTTTCCATGAAGATGATGAATTTTTAAGTTACAACGGCCATGGTGATTCCAGGTTGGCGACTCTGCTGGCAACAATGAAAAATCCCCATTTTTTCCCTACCCGTCTACACGGCACCGGCGGGCAGGCGGACGAGGGATCCAGGCAGCCCTGAAGTGGCTTTCTGGGCACCAGCGATTGAGATTATTTTTTTACAGTTCCAAGGTTGAAAGTCCCTTTGCAATGAATAGCAATCTGTGCTCCGCCGTAGACTGTAGGGACAGTGCTGAGAAAAGCTTATTTTTTGCCCTTATTTTTGCGGGGAAAAAAAGTTGGCTTCTCCAACAATGGAGGCCAGCCACGTCAATTAAGGTGCTTTTGCACGAGCTGTGTGCCGGGAGATTTTGTGCCACATGGAACATTTCACTTCTGCGTTTAAGGTTAGCAATTGAAGTCCATTAGATTGGTAAAATAACTGGGACGTGCCGAGCTGTACTTTGTTGAATCTTTAGAAGCATCTTCAAACAATTCTCAGTGGCACTGAATGCCGAGTGTGGCTTCAAGTGACGCGCGTGGTGTAAGCCAATTGTGCCTCGGGCAACATTCATGTGAACCTGTACTATCACGATGAACGCCGCACGACGCAGTTAGCCAGACATTCACACTAGACTCGTTCTATTTACCTTCGGCGTAGAAAAGTGTTGGGAGGTTCCGGTCGCTTCTCAGTATACAGAGGACGGAGGCACACTGTCCTACACTTTTCCGCACCCTCGCTGGAGGTGCGGGTAAATCGAACAAGCCTACTGCGTGATAATAAAAAAAAATAATAAAATAAAAATAGACTCATTTGATTCACCTGCACCTCCTGAATGCAACCATATTTGAATGACGAGTGCAGCCTACCTGAACTGGAAGTACATCGTACCTGCACTTTTTGCAGGCTGGCGCAGGTAAATAGAACGAGCCCAGTGTACTCGCAGCGGTTCACATACACTGTCCCCCCCCAAGTTGGCGCCATACATTCCAGGGTGCCAGTAGCCTCGGTGGCAGGCTTTGAGTCGTACCAAGGAAGACCTCGCCCTGGAAGGGGTTGAGGGCATTTGAGGGTACCTTCCTGCCAGCTGTACTCCTTCATCGTCTGCAGGATGACCACAAAGAGCAGGATGACGTAGTGGAAGCGCTCCCGCACGTCGCTGCAGGACATTTGGAACAGGTTGTTCTTCTCGAATTTCTTGAACACCATGCCCTTGAGCTCGACAAACTGCAACAGCGAGAACGGGCTGCCATGCAGCGGGGAACACCCCCTCCCAAAGTCACTGGCAGTCTGGCTGCCCTTCTCCGAGACTCACATTGTTTGACATCATGATCGTCAGGAGGGCCTTGTTTTGCGAGTTGATGGCAACGTTTAACGTGGTAGCCTGCAGCATCACAAGCAGGCAGTGCAGCACTAAAAACAACAGAGTTGAGGAATCTGCCACAAATGTGCTTTGATCCGCCCACCAATCAAACCTTACAGGCCTCGGAGAGCCAGAAAATATCTCTATCCATCTATTAGAGCAGCGTATTGCGCGAGAAAAACCGACCACAACCCGGGGACGAGCGCGAAGAACAACGCCGGTGTTTCCGGACGTCTCGAGTTGCTTTGCTCCCGGATATATGTGCACCATGTTTTCTGTTAAGTCCGCGTCTTGTTCCTAGTTTGGCTCACCGTGAAAAGCATGCTTCAAAGATTTTATTAATTTTTTTTCAATGAAGCCTCGGATGGCTTAGAACAGCATACCGCAAGATCCTGAGTCATCGCCCAGCCAACTTGTTGGGCAAACTATTAATAAAAAAAAAAGGCACAGTAATAGCCCACCCTTACAAATACTCCTAAGCAGATACCGCTATACGCAGGCACTCGTCCTTCCCGAATGTCGCGACCGCGGACCAAGAAAAGTAAGTTTGTTCGGAAAAGGATAAAAAAATTGGAGATATAACGCAAGCAACAACCGATCCATAAATCGCGAGGTCAACAAACATCCGATATCTCGGAATGTGACTGCGAAAGGCAAGGTCAAAGAATACGGTTCTAAAGACAGTAGAAGAAAACGGACAAGTGCCGACTCAATATATGCAACACAAAAGAAAATTATCGAAAGGGAAATGTGCTTATGGCACGAGAAGCGTACCGGCAAAACAACCAAGCGTAAACGTTTGTTCATATTTGCGTGTAAACACGAAACCACCTTTTCAGACGATGCCAGATGGCCGACTCGCGCAGTGCTCCCCCAAGCCCGTACTAATAAACGCCTTCTAGATCTCGTCTGTTTTCGTCCACTGTGTCTTTGTCTCCTGTGCACCCTTTATCACCTTGTTCAGTGCAAACCAACTTGCCCAACTCACCACCTTGCTAAGGTCAAAGATGCTTTATTTTTTTCGCAACTAAAAGCAACTCCGTGGAGCCTGTCTCCACCGATATAAGGTCACTGCAAATACTCGGTCACTCCACCAGAATGTTGTGACCGCACTCAGTAAGGACGTGCCACGTTTGGGACAAAGGCGGCGGGTAAATATAGAGGCTCGCTCCAATGCTGCGCACAAACATTTAGGAAGCATTATATTTTGAGCTCAGTGTATTGCGGTGATGCTCACGCCACACGGCAATGCCGCCTCAACCTGCGTTGTAAGCACACCGTGCACCGACGAACGCGAGAACACACCAACGAAAAAGTTGTGCAAGAGCCTGCTCTGGGTATTCCTTTCGTCAAACGCCGTTTCATCAAATAAGTTAACATTTCGTAAAATGCCGTTTCATTGAATTTCATATCACTGATTTTGGGATCATTACAATGCTTTCAACAGGTTTCACTCTCACTTCCGAGTTTTCACGCTGCTGTGAAATTCCCAGAAATAGAATTACAACCCAGGCAACGTTTTCACAAACATTTTGGTTACTGAATCGTAGAACTTCACTTCACTAGGTATGCGACTGACCGTTCTCAGGTAAGATAAGCGGTTGTTCTCAACCACACCCTTTGTTTCCTCTCTATTTGTTCACGCATGAAACGAATAAGATTCTTTTTTGCTGCACCTATTTTATTTTATGTTTATCTGTTTACTTGCGTTTTCATTCTATCCTAAGAGAGTAGCTTCTCCTCTAAGAACAGGTTAAAAAGCCGGCAGGTCCACAATTCCGCCGATTACAAAAATAAACAAATGAGAGCGACACATTCTTTTTTTTTTTTTTCATATGCCACGAAGACAGGTTGTTGCTCAGCTTAAAGCTTGAAATAGAATTAGGCTCTTCAAGGGCGAGGATACACCCCTGAAAGAATGCACCTTAGCCACTACACCCCATGATTGCACGATTTATAAAATGTCAGGTCTGTGGTCCCGTTTGTTATCAGCTAAATTAACAACACTAGTCATCACTTACCACAAACAAAAAATAGAAATTAAAGAAGTAGCAGAGAGAATGAAATGTCTAATTATTAGTTCACCGCACCGTAGGAAAATAAAGTTTATAAATTATAATAATTCTTATAGCACTGCTGTCCTTCCAGTGTTAAAAGAAAATGTTTTCCCAGATCAAATATTTCTATTGCTCAACTAGGTGGTTTTCATTGAAACAGCGTTCAATGACACGGCCGGCATTCAATGAACTGGCATTCAATGAACTGGCTTGGATGATGCATTCGATGTAACGGAGTTGGATGAAACAACGTTCGATGAAATATTTGTCGTGGGTATGTGAGTGACAGACTTTGCGATAGTGAAGTCACGAGCATTGTGTGCGTAAAATGAAACTAATTCAAGTTTTGAGCTGACACGTATTTCCTGAGCAGCCATGCTAGATGTGTTCGAAAAGATAGCCATTTTATACTGTCGAGACAGGTTATAACGAAGTCGGTTATAGACCCTTTAAGGCAACATTTCATGGGCGCCGCCATCTTGACGTCACGTGACCCTGCCGCCATAGCCGCCCTTCAGTTTCTCGCCGTTCCTCCGCGTTGTGTGCTGCACCGGCCACTGCCGGAGCTTTGTTTTCGCGTTATTTTACGTTCCGCGATGAAATTGCGTGTCTTCTTTAAGTCTTTTTGATAATTTGGGCTTTCATTTATTCATTTGATATCTATATTTCAACATAGCTCTTGTATTTTCTTATTTATGGAATGGAATGGGACAGCGAATGGATCGACGATACAAGATTATGGCTTCAGAGACCATGTAAGTTATCCCATCCTAATGTTTTTCTCGCTAATAAAGGGCAGTCAACACCATTGCGACATATGCAAATTTCAACTTACTATCCAGTCGTGCTTATCGCTGCATGTGTGCGCTCGTTTCCGTAAAGCTGAGCCTCATGTAAGCGATTTAGCGTGCGACGAGACGAGCGACGGTGACAACGACGAGAGTCAGCGACAAAGATTTCTCACTGCCGCCTGTTGCATCGCTCGGTTTTTTGGGTTTCTAGAAAATGTCGCTCACCGTCTTGGTCGCCTGCTCCCGTCGCTTCCATGCGGTTTGCCTCGTCGCGCGACTGCCCGAGCGACAGCGAAGCAAGTCACCGTCGCTTGTCTCGTTGCTCGCCGAATCGCTTGCATGCGGTTTATACTTAATATCAATGCGCCAATGGTTCAATGGTGTGTGCATAAAATTAATTGAGTATAAACCGCATGTAAGCGATTTGGCGAGCAACCAGATAAGCGACGGCGACCCGCATTGCTGTCGCTCAGTCAGTCGCGCGACGAGGCAAACTGCATGGAAGCGACGGAGCAAGCGACCAAGACTGTGAGCGATGTTTTCTAGAAATCCCAAAACCGGGCGATGCGACGGGCGACAGTGAGAAATCTCCGTCGCTCGTCTCGTCGCGCGCTCAATCGCTTACATGCAGGTCGGCTTTACGGAAACGAGCGCGCACATGCAGCGAGAAGCACGACTGTCATAGCCTTACTGTGTCAGTTGCAATTTACATATGTCGCAATAGTGTTGACTGCCCTTTATTAGCGACAAAAACGTAAGAATGGGATGAACTTACATGGTCATTGAAGCCTCAAAATTCTGTATCGTCGACCCATTCGCTGTCCGATTCCATTTCATAAATAAGAAAATACAAGAGCTAATGTCGAATTATAAATATCAAATGATTAAATGAAAGTCCTAAATATCGAAAAGGCCTAAAGCAAATACAAGACTTTAACGCGCAACGTAAAAGAACACGAAAAATAAGCTCCGGTAGTGGCCTGTGCAGCACACAACGCGGAGCAACGGTGAGAAACTGAAGGTCGGCTATGGCGGCCCGGAAAGCGCGCGAAGGGCGCGCCGACTGATGGCAGCTCGATTAACTGACTCGCTGAAAGCGTCTATAACGAAATAGCGGCTATAGCGAAGCGATCCCTATTTCCCATTCCCTTTTGCTTTTCATAATAACCGAAGTTGGCTATAATGAAATAGCGGATATAGCGAAGTGATTTCCAATTTCGTTATAACCGGTTTCGACTCTAGCTTTTCCTGAAATTATTTGCTTACACCCACACTTTTTGTGTAAATTTTGGGTGATGACTCGGGACTTTACGGTATGAATTCCAGATTCTGCATCACGCTGACAGACAAGGAAGAGGGCAGCCATTGGCAGCCAATCCTCGGCTTTGGTCGGCAAATATGTTCCCTCGTATTTGGGACCTTGTAGTTGTGTTTCGGTCAACGTCTGGGCATTCAAAACCTGTCAGGGGCCTAACAACAAATACAAAATTGTGAGATGGTTCTCCGCCTTGCAAGACCTTAAATACTAAGAGATTTTCACTAACGTGTATATGTAGCGACACGAGTAAATAAAAACAAACTGGTCTTGCATTTAGCGGAAAAAAAGAACCCTCGACCGCACTACGCTCGTCAGTTTCACAATATCATTTCATGTAGGTAGAGTGCAATGATGTTCTCGCTCTTTCCTGAGGAGAACCGCATTGAAGGGTCAGATGCTTCCTGCTCCCAAGACAAAAGTAAACACAGTAGTGCCTCTTGTGTCACTAAAATCAAGTTGTGGCTCATTGACTGAAACACACCCATAGAATTTGTTGTGTAGAAGTTTAGACAGTTAGAGGTCAGTCTGCCCCAAAGGGTACCCGATGTCTCTACTGGAGATGCAACATTTAGCAATAGAATGGAAAGGTGGGCTAGTTGGTGCACTGCTACGTAGATAGAATCAAACACAAAGAGAATGCATCATTGCTGCGAGTAGAGGGCATATGCACTTCAGCGTTCTTCCGCATTAAAGTTCAGTTGATAGTAGCACTTAGTTTGTCTCGCCTTTCTTGTCCCGTTCCCTGGGACTTTTACTTTCGTAGCGACATTTAACAGGTGCGGTACAGTCGAATCTCATTCATTCAAACTCGAGGGGGACTGAAAAATGGCTTGAATAAGGCAAAGTTTGAATTAGCGGGAGTTTCCTCCCATAGAGACGCGTAGGATGGGACCTGCATGTTAGTTTGAATTATCCGCAAGTTTGAATTAATAGAGTTTGAATGAACGAGATTTGAATGTATAACTGCCCACACACAGCAGTGACGCACGGGCACACATTGGTACGACACTAGTCCAGGTCGACACGGGTAGACGGTGAGCCCGGGATCCCGGTCTGTGGAGCGAGACTTTTCGCTCCACAGGCTGCCAAGACACTCGGCCAGTCGACTCTCAAAAGACGCCCATCAGTATGCTTCCGTAGCCACTCATCAGGCAGTGCCAGAGGTAAGCCTTGTAGCCACCTGAACACAGTGCATCACACAAGCACGAAAATAAGGGCCCAACTGCAATTTCCCACAGCTGTGACAGCAGAAAGGATACAGACGTAGCCGACAGCGAGAGCCAAGTGAGGCAGCACGCCCAAGTGCTCGCGTTTCTTGCCCCGTGGCTCGGTGGCAGTCCAGAAAAGGGCATCTAGGATGTCCTGTCCAAAGGACGAGAACAGCTTGTCTGCCACCTAGACAATGTGCACTGAGAATTAGAGACTATCCTTTGCATTCTAAACATGCATCAAAAACATCTCCAAACTCTGTAAGAGGAGACACTGCTCTTCAAGAATTTTTTGCCATTTCTCATTTAGCTTATATTCGATTCTTGCACCTACTAAAATTTCTTTGACTAAGCGCAAATATCAGCTTATGCTGACCCAATCTATTATAACTTTCTAAAAAATTGTGACTTAATACAAACATTTCATCCGCCTTCCTTTAAGTACTCCCGTCAACAACCCATGGCACAAAATACAGTGCTCGCACAACTTACATGCAATGTACAAATTATGTCTGATCTCATGGGAGCGCTGTCCTGGCAGCAGCTGAAGGAGCGCTGCATGACGCTCAAGGGAACAGCTCGAGCAGGGTAGGCCCCTCAGTCCAGGCCAAAATCGCAGCTAAACCAGAGACAATCTGTTTTCAGCAGCTGCCTATGCATCGAGGTGCGAGGAGGTAGCCCAAAGCATAGATCATTCGGCAGGCAAACTTTCTTCATTGTCCCCGGTTCAAGCCGGGGCTCGAGCAGGTGGCCTTCCCTGCTTGGATTGTTTTACGGGGCGCTACATGGTGAAGCAGTTGTTCAACTGCCGGAAGGATGAAGCTCCCATGAGATGAGACATTTGTGTGTTCCGCAGGGTTTGGCGAGCACTGTGCATCTGCATGCTTTACCAAGAGGAGGTTCATCCACATCAATTTAGCATCACTCTTAGGTTATCACATGTTGAAATCTTTTTACTAAATAAATGAGTCATCAAAGTTTTATTTCAAATTATGAAATGTTATTGCTAACATTTTTAGAAATCTTAGTCTTGGTACACTCCTTTAAAAAAATGTGGATTGCAATGAAAAACTTATTGCGAAAAAGTCGGGTTTTCAAAACATGCAAACATCCAATAATGCAACTTTGAAGAGAAAAAACTCGGTACATGGGCTCTCTCTGAGTGCAGTAACAACGAAATGTGTTGTTGGTGACTTGTAGATAAAAAAAAAGTTTAAATTGTTTTTCCCCCTAATTTTTGTCTTTCAACATTAGTATCTAAGGTGCTGTGCTGACCTATCCACTTGCACTTCTTTTAGGTATCATGCTCAACTTAAAGGGACACTGACAGCGTATTCCTGCTCGCCAAGGTTTTTATTTGTACATAACGTAGGACAACCCAGCTACCCAAAACACAACTTGCAGCTCAAAATTTGTTTCCTTCCCTCCTGCAAACCGGTCGGTTTGAGTCTCGCTCACTCACTTCTCCACGGTCACACATGTTCAGACACGCACACCAAATATAATAATGTTGTGGGTCATCGAAGGCACACACTAAATATTAAAAATAAAACGAAATATGAAACCCGTTTTTATGGATTCTAAAAAGCTGCGAATAGATCGGGAAAAAAAAAAAAGTTGCACAGTATGCCGAAAGTACTCTGTGCAATCTCAACATGGCACCGTACCGCAAGGTCACGGCCCAGACGGCTGGACGAAGCGACGGCAGAGGACGACGGGCGTAAGATGTCTACTTCAGAACTGTCGTTTGCAGTAGCAGCAAATCTATCTCACTCCGAAAGATAAATTTTTTACCGATCAAAACAATTCGAATTTATTCCGTACGACACGCCCGATTACCTTCACACGAAGGCGCCGCTGAGTCGTCGCCCATTCTCCTGGCTGAAGACACTGCTCGTCTTACGAACACAAATTGGTAAGGGCTTGAAAAATGCACAAACATCAAGCACAAACTGTGCACTTGGTGGTGAATATACACCTTTCCAAAAAACGCTCCTAGGCCGCCGCCATGTTGCTGATGCTGATGCGGCTGGTGCAACTCTCGCACCCTCTATTACCTAGAAATTTTTTGCCACTCTATTGGACTGCGAAGACCTGCTCAGCGCGGTTCTCTACCCACATTTTTGCGGTTTTACAATCAACGTTTTCTCGCCCCTCTTGAAAGTTTCCACTTAATCTTTTTTTTTTTTTATACGTGCTGCGTACCTATTTTGTGTTATCTTCCATTGTGAGAAATAAGGCTGGTGAGTGCCTGCCATTCAAGCTGTTCAGCTTTACATTCATGGGAAACGAAGGGGGTGAAGGATGTCGAACAGCCTTCGACGCGATTTTGTGAACATTGTTCTCCCCCCTTCCAGAGATAATCCGCGTAGAATGACCAGTCATCTCCAAAAATAGTTTTCTGGGTTGTGGTGGGAAACGGGTCAGTCGCGTTCGTTCCTTTGCCTTGGTGCTGTCGTGAAAAAAAGAAGTTCTCCCCAAAATGTTCCCCAAAACGAAGTCATCTGGGATTCTGTCCGATCGTCAAGATGTGATTGTCGTCGACTGTGACTGTGTTATTTGAGATCTGTCTCAAATAAATTCTTCTCGGATAATGCTGCATCGTGTGGTACATACAAGATATTGTTTGAATGTTAAAACTTGTTAAATTGTATGTCCGTGGCCTGTCCATCGGTAAACACATTATTTGTGAGCGTGAAAAATGAATACTTTTCAGTTATCTTCTGCTGCAAATTATTTTCGACAGCCAAGTGCTTTGTTGTTTGACACGCGGTTCATCGGGTGGCGCCGTCGAAACTTATCGTAAAAAAGAAAAAAAACGGCACTAACATTCCAGTCGCATTTATTCTGTTGCACGCATACCCAACAAAAATAGTTTAGTTTCTTTTTCTCTTTTTTTTTTTTTTGATTTTTTGATTTTTGAAATGTGGTACAATGCTTTCTCCATGTTCTCGGGAAAATACATGCACCATAAAACACAAAATACAGTGGGAAAATACGAGAATCTAGCCGCCAGCAGTGTTTGAAACTGCGCCTACGCAGGCTTCGCCCGTCGAAATCACAGTCCACTCGTTTAGGGTAAGCAGGGACGCCGGTGAGAGTCTAGCCTCAAACCCAGTGACTGGGCTCGAAAACGGTTTGTTGTCCCTAGGGTCGAGTGTTTCTTCGAAAGCTGTATACTAGGTGCAAATGTGGCCAATGCATGGAGCCGCCCAACTCCGAGCCTGGGGAGTACCTTTGCAGCAGGGAAATTGGCAGCAAACTTTCAGATCTACTGTCAACTGGCTGCGTTACTGCAAACGAGGAGTTCACCCTGGTGCGCTTGAACATTACAATGTTAAAACTGTCATCTGCTTTGCACGGCCAAATAAAACAGAGGAAGAAAACAAAGAAGAAAAAAAGATGCGGTTAGGTGTAGCTACGTGACTTCCGGCGAATCTTTCCTCTACATTTATTCCTCCACCCCAGTCTACATGTCGCGACCATTAACACCGTTCCGTGCTCATGTTTGGGATTTGAGCAGTTGCATTTTTTTCCTTTATTAAAAATGTAAGCGACTCTGCAGCAAAATATTGATTGTGTAGTCTTTGGACACCGTATTAAATCGCCTGGCAAAAAATAATAAATTTTTTGGAGGGCGTTAGTGTCCTTTCAACTCTGCTGTTTGTTAATCTCAAACATTTTCGGTGTAGTTTTTTGTTTTTTTTATAGTAAAAATAGGTTTCAGTTATGTCTGATTTATTTTAATGAAGGGGCTCTCAAGCAGCGTTCCCGCAAGCCAAGGAATACCTGAAGTACCTAAACTTCCACACTAGCTCGATACTCAAGCACTAAAATGTTTCTCCGGTTTGAACTAGTAAACTTCCATGCACAGCTCTGTGCTATGCATTGAAGCACATTCAGTGAAAAAAATACTTATACCAGCGATGTGCCTTACATTTTGCAATTAACTTTTTATTTATTTTTTATTATTTCTTTTATTTATTTACAGAAACAACCTGCAGCGCCGAAGCATTATAGCAGGGAAACATAAAATAAAACAAATGCAATGTCAAAAATACAATACTGTTAAATAAAAGAACACACACAAACTCTCGAATGTTAAAAAAATTTAGGATACTGAAAAAAAAAATCCTACGTCATCTGTAATAAATGCTGATGCAGGCAATGAATTCCAGTCCATTATTGTGGGAGGGAAAAATGAGTATTTTTTATAATCAGTTCGGCAAAATATTTCTTAGATCTTGTTACAATGATCTATTCTGGTTGAAATATAGTTTGCTAATTCAAGATATTTACACTTATCAATTCTAGTTAAGTTACTAAATATAGAAAATAAAAAATTTAGACAAAATTTTTTTCTCCTTAAATCCAATAGTTGCCAATTGATCTCACATTTAATTTCTGCCACACTGGATGTTCTTTTGTACTTTCCCGATACAAACCTTGCAGTACGGTTTTGAATTTTTTCTATTTAAATGGCAAGGTACGCTTGGTGCGGGTCCCACAGAAAACACGCATATTCAAGCATCAGTCTTACCAAGCAGCAGTAAGCAGTTTCTTTTAGCTTGTTGGGAGCACTGCGTATATTTCTGTTAATAAAATTTAGCATTCTACCATCCTTTGGTACAGACCGTATTACGTGACCATTAAAAGAAAGATTGCTCGATAAAATGACTCCAAGATACTTCACATGCGTGTGTCTATGTAAATGTCGATAATTAATAGAGTAATAAGATAAGGTGCTGTGGCGTTTTTTCCCGAAAGTGACGTGGACACCCTTGTCAGCATTGAGACTTAATTCACATGTCTGGCACCAACTGGATATTTTATCTAAATCAGATTGTAAAAGTGCAGAATCACGTAAATGTTCTACTCTACGATATAAAACGCAATCGTCTGTGAACAGCCTCACAGGCAAGTCAATACCTACAGCTATGTAGGTATTGAATAAAAGAGGCCCCAAGACTGACCCCTGCGGAACGCCAGATGTCACAGCAAGAAAATTAGGTTTCGCACCGTTAATGACTACGCATTGCTTTCTTTCAAAAAGATCATTTTCTATCCATTGGTAGACGCTGTTATCAAGGCCCAAAGAGTGCAGTTTACAAAGGGTGGGGCACAGAATCAAAAGTCTTCCGGAAGTCAAGGAAAATAGCATGCATTTCACTTCCACTCTCAGTTGTTGTAACAAGATCATGGTAAAGTTCAACAAGCTGAGTCACGCACGAAAGACCCTTTCGAAAACCATGCTGAGCTGGAGAAAAGATGTAGTTAGTATCTAGATATGCTACATTACTATACACGGTACAAAAATACATTTAGGTAGATTAGAAGCAAAACGAAATTATAAACACACACGGGTAAACAAAAGCAACGACTATGGCAAACTTTCCCTCCTGACTCTCGTAATGCATAGCGCAGATTTCCTAATCATTGCAAGTTTGCTAGGTACAGTCTAAGCTCGTTACAACAGACCTTGATTTTGAACGAGATTTCGGTCTGTTGAAAGAGGAGTAATGTTGTATGCAGATATAAAATTGAGTCAATAGTATGTAGAGGAAAACCAACCAAATTTCCCAAATCGGTATGTTACATCCAGTTGTAACCAGGTCTGTTGTCATGAGCTTAGACTGTATGTATATTCCCTGTTGGCAGATGCCGTCCCTGCAGAACTCACCTCCAGCATGTTGAAGAAGATGTACAGCTTGATGACGGACTGACTCTTGACAATGTGGTACAGCATGGAAGTGTCCACGTAGCTGACCAGGAAGCAGACGGCGACGAGAATGATGCCCTTGAGGAGGTCGCAGATCTCTGCTGGCTGAAGCACCCGGCTGGGAGCAGTGCCCCGGGCGTTCAGGAAGACGCTGGTACGGACAGGCACAATTGTCGGGCCTCAAGAGAAGCAAGCACGGCAGAAATGTCTGTCCTTGGCCCACAACCTCTCAATGCCCCTCGGAGACCACGAGGTTACCACAACCGAAAATGCAAGGCAGGCACTGGAGATACTCCAAAGAAAGATGCTCAAGCCGCAAAGGGGTTTCAGGTGAAACAAACTCTGGGTTCCACATCAAGTCAATGCAAAACAGGAATGTAGTACTTAGTAGTCGAGAAAAATAGTGCAAGCTTGCAGTTGTTGTACAGGAACTCGGTAGATAGCAAAAATACTTATTGAGAAAACTCGCTTCTCTAGAGATTCTACAGCATAAAGAGAACAAATCGATGCAACCACCAGCAAATAATGTCACGAGTCATTAAGAAAGACCTTGTTATTATGGACCCCATTTACCCCTTAATCGTTTTGGACGAGCCTAGCTCGTCAACGTGGAGCCGTCCCCAAACCGTTCAGTACGGGTATGGCTTGTCTGCTTTCCCTAATTCATGCACTCAACCGTTTTAGACGAACCACGCTTGCTCATGGCTTAGTTTGAAGCTCTGCCAACAGATGGCAGCCCCGAATTTTTTACAATTTTGCTCACGTTTTGTTTATGGCTTGAAACTTGACTTCGAAGCAACAAATGTAATTTTGAAGACAGGCAGTTGAGGATCAAAAATTACCCCCAAACTTAAAACTCTTAAAAAGGCGCTGACATATCAAAATCATTTTTTTTTTTATTATCGGAAACAATTGAAAACGATGCCGGGACATTATCCTCAGAATTCGAAACTTGGGGATTCAGTATTTGTAGTAAAAAAAACAATTTCCAAATGCCGAGTTTGAAGTTCCCGCGCGATCCGCGCCAGTCAGCAACGTCAAATTTTGCGATCTCCTGCGGGTCGACTTTCTTTCGCACCTCCGCTCCATGCTACAAAGCAAAGCACCGTTGCCACAGCGACCCGAAGCGAGGAGGTGAGGAGCGGAACAGAAGAGCGCCGGCAGAAAGTGAAAAACCGGTTTCTTCGTCCAGTTCCCCGACTCACCGGTCATCCTCTGCTCGAGCGCCACCAAGTTTTCCGAGGGAGGGTACAAATCCAGGAGGCGACATCACACCGACTTTGATTTTTTTGTATTTCAAAAAGAAGGGCCGTAGTGCGTTCGCAATTGCGTTAAAAAACATGTTTTAAGATTGCCGCTATTAACTGTTATAGAAATGTCGCCTACAAAGCTTCTAAATTTCATGATTTTTGATGTCACGAATCCAAAGTAGTGAGGAGGCAAAAAGTGGTAAAGAAAAACGGCAAAAAAAAAAAAAAAAAAATGCGTGCGTGCACAATGGAAAATTTTTTTTTTTTTTTAAGATTCATTTTTTTTTTTTGTGTCTGTCTGACTACAATTTGCATTGTTTTAGACAATAAAAAAAATACGACCTTTGGGGTATCAGTGCCCCTTTTAAGGAGTTAATGTGGATACCATACTACATATATAGACGAAATTTGTAGGGATGAATTGGGTGAATATGTGCATTTTTGTTCTGTTATTACAGAAAATGTTTGGGGGGAATGGAAATCTCTGTATTAATAAAACACAACTATACAAGGTTTTTTTTTTTTAAGCTTACAGATTTGTTTAAAAAGACCCGCGATAACTATGCTTTTGTGGTTTGTGCAGGTGAGTTATACGGCCAAGGGAACACAATACAGAGGGCTAATCGTATAATCAGTCGGTAATTAGGTAAGATTTGTTAGTTAACTTTTAATCAGTAAAAACAGACATCAATTCCAATCAGAAACTTGCTCAGAGTCATCCAAAACCGCTAAATCAACTATTTTCAGACAGATATAATGCAGAGGCAGCATTTTACGGCGTTCTGTAAAAACACTCGATTTGGACATGTTTCTAGGTTTTGGTTTATTATTGAAGTGCCTGCCTGCGGTCCTGCCCCCCAGAGGCTGAGACGCGCAACGCACGTGCGCAATACTTCCTTCCGTCCTACTATGGTGCCTGGAACGCGTCTCCGACTGATGTGTTTAGCGTCCTATGCTGCCCATACATCAAAAGTGGTTTCCAAGTGGCAACAAATGACGTCACAGAAGCTGGAGTGTCATGCTGTTGACTGTTGCGATCCTGGAGGTTGGCCGTAGAAATGCTGGCGAAAAGCGCGAGCGACCGCAAGTGTCGCTGTCGTCACGGCGTTTCAACTTCCAACTGCTGTAGCTTCCGTAGACTGTCACAGAGGGGAGCGACCTGCAGCAGAACAGGCGTCTACCATATCCACTACAGCTGCTGAGACACCACCAGGGCCGCGATCGGCGACAGCCTGACACTTCTATGATGTCATCAGGCGGAAATCGAGGGACCACTTTTTTGGACCCGGTAAACACACCAGTCGAAGACCCGTTTTAGGCACCGTAGTCCTACGAGGGGGGCGAGGCGGTGGCTTCGTGCTGCGATTACCAGGGAGCAGGACCGCTGGCACAAAGATGTGTTCCGATTGGAAACCAAAACCTATAAATGCATCCAAACCACAAGTTCTTAAGAATGCCGTAAAATGCTGCCCCCACCTTGTATCTTTCTAAAAAAAAATTTGATCTAGTGATTTTGACTGACCCTCACTAAGTTTCTAATTGGAACCCTATGTCTATTCTTCACTAAGTGAAAAGCTAATTAACAAATTTGACCTAATTAGCCAACTGATCGTTACGACTAGCCCCCTGTATGTCCCCCTGGCAGTATAACTCTCCCGCACAAACCACACAAGAGTAGCTTTCACGGCTCTTTTTAAACAAATCTGTGAAGCTTAAAAGAAGACACCCTGTATTCGGGTAGCCTGCGATGAGTATCAACAATGCTCAAATTCCTTGCCTACCGCATGGGGAATGCATTACTGCAAACAGTTGCAATGCTTGCCAACAGGTCTGAGGAGCCGATTCTTCTTCTTCCTACTGCCTTTGCAATTTCTCGTAAATCGAAAAAGGTCACTAGGTTGTCACAACGTACAGATCGAGAGCCCCGCCAACCTCCAACCGCCGTGACCGCCAACCGGCGAGCTTCACCGGGGCGACGGTCACTTTGCGCAGCAGGCATTGCAGTTAGTGCGCTCACCTCGACAGGGTCTTGAGCGCGTAGACCAGCAGGAACCAGAGAGCAAGCATGAACCTCAGGGGGAGTAGCGTGAACACAAAGAGGAAAGCATCCGCACACTGGAAGAATCCATACAGCATGAACTGGAAGGCAACAATGGCTGGCTTCAGTGCCCACCTTCCACACCTCGATCCTGTGAGCTCCAGAGACCCGCCGTCAGTCGGAAAACATGCTCGAGCATCTTCGCACTGGACCGAGGCTAGAGAGGAAGCTCAGCCGATGGGAGAGTTAAGTCGCCTTGTGAGCTGGTACTACGAAATACAAACCAGTACCTCAAATACAGAACATTGTCAAAACATTCTCTTTCCTTTACTACCCATTGAGAACGAGGGTGGAGGATTCTTAAAATACAGAAAAACGTCCATTCACTTCGAGACACTTTTAGAAAATGGCAAAATGAAACCCAAATCTACAACTTGCATGCTAGAGCACATGCTAATGGTGGAACCCTCGTTTCAGTATATTATAGAGTTCTAGGATGTGCATGACGACCCAATTCCTACTCGAAAAAAGAGGTATCACGAGCAAGTTTTTGTTTTTTGTTGGGATTTTTGTTTTGTGACAAATTGGCAAGTACAAATTTTGGCACTTTTCCAAACAGAAATTCACGGAACAAACTGGGCTTCCTTAACCCTGGTGCGAGAGGCTCCCCTTTCCCAAATGGCATGCACATTTTGTAAAGAGACAAGAGTGGGCAATTTCTAGTGCTGGAAGGTTGCACCTGCAACCTTGGAGAATAAAGGAAAAAAACTCTGTAACATAACCAAAGATCAAGAAAGTAACATTTTGCTTCTTTGTAAAATTGTTAACTAAAATTACAACCTGCATTCAGAAGAGGTCTAGGCAAACTCGTCGAAACCCGACCCGTTAAATGACAACTTGTCGAAGGGCAATTCATTGAATTGGCCAGTTCGTAATAGGGCAACTCGTCGAAGGAGAGTTTGTTAAAGAGGTCTTTTCATCACCCTTTTTTTCAACATGAACTTAGCCTCCATATTCAAACACAAAAGCATATTAGTGCTCCACTATTTTAAATATGCTGCAAACTGTGCGAGGGGTGCTGAATCCTCGCCTCAAAGTGACGGCAAGAACTCCCATATGCGTCCACTAAACCCCTATTGATAATGTCACAAAGGACAGACAATGAGGCAGGAGACAACAAAATGAACTAAAGCTTTAATGGCAGTAAACTTGTACCAGAAATGAAAAAAAGAACATGCGTCGAAAAAGTAGCAGCAAGCAATGGTATGTTGTCGTAACAGCTGGCTATCGCGAGAGAGAATCAGCGAATGAATCGGCAATATGGCGCCAGGGGCGGATCCAGAACTCCAATATGGGGCGGGGGGGGGGAGGGGGGGGGGCAAAAAATTTGTAAGGACAATATTCTCCCATTCTTTCGTGCGCACCGGGGAATGCACCCCTGTCAAATTGCCCTCTGAGAAGGGGGGAGGGGGGGAGGTCAATTTTGTTTGGGGGAAGGGGCGGCCGCCCCCGTCAGCCCCCCCCTTGGATCCGCCCCTGTATGGCGCTTGGCTCTTTGTTTACTCTCCTCGTCATCTCGAATATTCGACATGGAATGTTTGGGAAAGAGCTAGGGCGAGACTGACTAGACGTCATTCTGGCCTCCATATCGTTTACGCTTGGGGTAAGAGTGTATGCAGATCTCCTAGATGAAAGAAAAAGCGTATCTTCTTGATCATGCACGAGGCAATATAAGAAATGCAAGGATAAAACTCCCTATCACCTCTATGTCGTATTATTTTTCATAAAATATAACACTTTATCCCGCTCCATATTTTTGTCTCACCTTAACCTCATGGATGACTGTGTCATGTACTGTATACTAAATAGCTGAAAAGAGTGAGGAAAACTGAATGCATCGTTACTGCCTGTTTCATGCTAATGCCTTGACTGGGGTATAAAGATTAATCATGATAAATCGCTTACTATAATGATCACAAACGAAAAGGAAGTTCTTGATTTTACTTAGGAAATTTCAACATTTCCCTCAATGAAAAGGACACAGTTAAATATCTTGGAGTTGTAATATCATGGGACTTAAAATGGGACACATGTGTCAATTATATCTGCAACACGGCTTGTCAAAAGTTAGGTTTCTAAAAGAGAAATTTAAAAACACTCAACGCTAGAATGTAAATTAGCTGCTTATAAGACCCTAATTCGACCTTCATTGGGATATGCAAGCCTCGAGTAAGATCCCCACCAAGAATGCTTTTCAAATGCAACCAGTAAAATCAAAAATTGGGTCTCCCACAATTCATTTTCTCAAAATATAGACACATGGAAAGTGTGTGACCGTCTTGCTTAAAATATGTGAGTTGCAAACATAGGAAATGAAACCAAAAATTGCCCAAATAAACTTTACGCATCAGCTATACCCCGGTTACCTCAAAATAAATTCGGATCAATATTTAAAAACATCAAACAGCCACTCAGGTCGAGGTAACCCGACTAAAATTGTAGGACCGTTTCAGCAATAATGACACATTCAAATATCCATATTTCTTTCAAACCATAGAAGACTGGAATTCACTACCGGAAGAAACAGTCCCAAAAACCGATCTTACTAAGCGTTTGACGCATGCGTGACGCCGCCATAACTTTAGTTCACAGGAGGCAGACGGCCGTGCATGCGAGGGTTCGTGCCGTCTCGTGCTCTACACACGCAGAGCACCAGCGAGGTTGTCGCATGTGCAGAAAGACTAAAGTTCCCACAATGCATTGCGGCAGCGGTGGCGTAGTCAAACTGGCCGGTGAGATCGGTCTATTACTGAATCGCAGTTGTTGGCCTATAGCCTGACTAAGCACTTCCATGATCTAAACTCTTTTTTATATGTAGTACAAAATTAAGCCTCGTTTATTCGAGCGAGTGTTGTGACTTTGCATAGCTATGGCATTTTTATATCCTTGTACTGAATATCTCCACTCATGATCTGTTATTACATGCGTTTCATGTGGTGTCATTATGTATTTTTAATTTATGCTGCGCACACAGTGCCATTTTTTTTAAATTGTTTGTACCCTGCTTGGGCCTGCCAAAAGGCTAGCGGTATCTCAAATAAAACAAATTAAACGAGTATATTTGCTCCTCTCTTTCTTTAGATAACTTAATGGCCAGTGGTGTAGCCAGAAATTCTTTTCCTTAAATCCCCCCCCGCCTATGCCACTAGCCAGCATAATGAATAAGAGTGAGAATAATATTAGATTATGTTAAAGGGAAGCTACGGAGCTTCTTGAAAAAAATGAGCTAGAAGTGAATTCTAGCGTATTTTTCCCTCGTGAACCCGAATAACAAAACCATTTGCCGCGCAAGTGTTTGTAAACGCGAGAAAAACGCGAAAGATAGTCGCTGTCCGTGACGTCATCGACGGATCTTTTGGCTTGCCAATGCTAGGGAGGCGGGGCTTCAGCCCTATTTTCAAATTGCTCGTATGGCTCTCCGGTGCGTGGCATTGAAATATGATTTTGATATCTGTTATTCTAAAGGCCAAATGAACGCAATTCAAGCGTTTTTTCTCAAAGGTAGAAGTGCCCTATCTTCCCTTTAAGTATCTGTGGAGAAGCCATCCAGTGATCCCTGTTAGGCGAACCCTTGAATCATCCAAGTACCAGCCCATATTTGAATGACTCAAGGTCAAACGTCTTGCACTAATTTTTGCATTTTAGATAGGAGGCTTTGCTCTGACAGATGCTTTGTACATGATGCAATAAAAAAAAACAAAGAAACACAAACTTGAGGTCAAGATATCTAAAAAGGAGAAAGACAACATTAATAAAAACAAACTTTTCTCCGCAAACTATTTTAACTATTTTACGCTGGTTGGCGAATGACCCTTCGAAAGGTTGCCCTCTCTGCAAACTGGGCTACGACGAATTGGACCTCTACGAGTCGATCCAATCTCATTCAGAAGATACTAAACTTTAAGTCTAGACCTAGTCGACACTATGAGCTGATGGGACTGATCAGAGTGTGAAAAGTGCACCATCATTGTGTTCGTCATGTTTCTGTACATGTTCTATCATTGCTGAAGCAATCATAAACAGAAAAGAACCAGGGACTTGCGCTTTTGACAGTTTGGTTGGTCCCACTAGCTCATAGCGGCGGCGGCGTCTGGACTTAAGCAGAAACAGTGTACAGTACCAAATATGAACTTTGCAAACCTCAATATGCATGCTACCACTGAATAAGTTCTTTTCATCAGAGAGGCTTGGGAGCAATTTTAAGATGCTGCTTGTTTCCAGAATGCTACTTGTTAGAAAATCACTGCTGTCACCATTTTCATCCTTAGACACTCGATATTTTAAGCTAATTGCTTGATATATTAGTGAAAAACCCAAGACTGAGGTAATGACAGACGACGACAAGGAAGAGAAGGAGAATGTCTTTGTCATTACCTCAGTGTCGGGTTTTTCACTAAAATGTTTAATATACACCAGCTCACTTGCGCCCTAACATTCTGCTCATTAATTACTTGATACGCCCAAATGAGTGAAGTGTCCGTAAACAAATGCTCACATGCAAGCGTGCATATTTCATAACCAGATACATAGTTAATGCATGTATATCCATCAATTTAGATACCACTTAGAAGCACCCTTCATGAGACGTCTTATCCGAGCCACTCTCACTTGCTCTTGACGAGGGGAACAAATTCAGTCGCGCATCAACGGCATCTCTTGTAACGTACATCAGCTATGCATGCATTGCTCAACAAAGCGAAATAGACCAGTAGAGCGCGTGGCCCTGCGCAGGTACACTCTAGCGATCACCCAATTGACAAAATGGTGGAGCCTTTATGTTACTCTAGGCTAGAGTAGCTCTAAACGTCTGAGTAACTGCACACTCTTAGAGTGAGACTATCCGCTCCACTGGTCCATTTCAACTCGTTGAGCACTGTATGACCCATGCGCGATATCAACACTATGAAGACATCATTTCAGCCAGTAAGCTGCATATGCTCGAATGTAAGCACATTCTCACGTGCTTAGCACGAGAAAAAATGTAAAATGTACAGAAGGAATTGGCAAGCGGAAAGAACCAATTGCAGCAACTCTCGTTTTCCAAATCATGCATGCCACAACATTAACTGTGCCAGAAGCGATCACAGATGCCGACACGCTCCCCGTGTGTTGCAATAGACCCTCTTTAAAAGTCCGCGCTGACACCTATCCGCCATTGCTTGCTCACATGTATGTACTGAAAACGAGCGCTGTATCAGCACTCAGCAAGAACTCAGATCCCATCATGCGCTTCATGAGCAAGCAACGGTGACCGTCAATGTTGCTTGATGGACTTTTGAAAAGGTGCTATTAAACAAACCCCCAAAAAACCAAAACAGAAAAAGACGCACCTTTTCTAATTCTCTGGGAATTTTGAAGAATATGTAAAACTTTTCTCTCCTATCTTCGTAACGCTGCTCGTCATTTTCTAAGTAATACCCTCTTCGCAGCTCCCCATAGAGGTATTCATAAAGCGAAGCACCTGCAATTGAAGACAAGCGGCATGTCGCTCAAATACACATTCAGAAACGCTTTGAGGGCACCCCAGAGAATTCCAATGGGCACCCAGGTGATGAGGAAACGCGAGGTAACATCGTTTGCAAAAGGGTTACAGCGCTGCTGATATCGCCTCACCGAGTCCATGTGGACTCCAACACTGTGCAAACACTCATATGATCCCAAGGTCACGAAGCCCACTCCAAGCCACAATGTGCCACATGTGAAAAGAAACCACCTTCTTGCTCTACGTAACTGCTGCGTGCATCTTGCAAATTATGAGCCACGTGCAAAGTGCCGGGCTGGCCTTTCACTCTCTTGGCGGTTTAATCATTGATAAACGACTCATCCGGTAATCGAATGAAAACGGAGATCCGCAATTAGCGTCCGCCATGGGCAAGACGCGCTCAAAACAATTGCAAAGTCATGGAAAGTAAGCGAGCGAGGCAAGTCCTTATGAAAAATAATCCAACGGAATAATCACATCGTTTTATTTCAAGCATCGGAGATAAGACATAGATAAGGGTATCTAGTCTAGGACTCTCCGAATCACGGGCGAAAAGATGCCCCGGCAAAAGTCCTGCAAGTAACTTGACATTGTGAAACTACCCGGTACTGAGGAAACAATAAAGCTGACTTCGAGAGACGTTTTCCTTCTCTTCTCTTGATGTCAATTTTCTTATTTCCTCAGTCATGTTCAGTATACACCAGCAGCTCACTTGCGCCCTGTTTCTTACGCACTGTTCGTTGAGAAACTTACTCGTGCTTCGTCCTGTATTTTCGCATTCGTTTTCTGGTTGACCATTTGGCGACACCGGCTTTAACTCCTCGATTTTACGACTGGGACTGGCATAGTTTGATGTGTCAATCATTCTTTCGGAAGAAAATACCTCCGGGCTCCGCTATTTCGGCTGCCTGGCTATTTCTGCTACTTCCTTATCCGCCATCTTGCTGCTGGGCTGTATGGATGGATGGATGCTAATCAGAGCCACATACGTTATAACAGGCGGTATCTTGCGCCATCTAGCCTAAAAATAAAAAAGTATGATTTTATGGTCTCCGAGATCCCAAAGCGCGCGAAGCCTTCGCGCGCGCCGCTACGCGCGCTTCGGGATTTCGAAGGTTATGATGATTTTATACCCTGAGCCGTCCCATTCCAGCGGAGAGGGAGTAAGCCAAACAAGCCAAAGTAAGCGGAGAAAGAAGAGGAGGCGGCGTCTCTCCGTGTGGAGGCGCACTCAACCCAGGCATCGAATTCGCCGTTTCAGTGGTTTCAGCATGGCGCCATAGAGCAGAGTCCAAGAGAAAGTCGTGTTACGTCGAGTTACTGCCGTTTCTGCTTACAGATTTTTTGTGTCTTGTGGTAGAACGGTGAACAGCTGCTTTGGGGAAGTACGTAGACAAGTTGTGATGTTTATTTAATTTGAGATATTCATTCGGACACTTCGGACATGTGGCGGCTAGCGCTACAAGCGCGCCTTCTGATATAGTTGACTGCAATCTCTAGCGCGTATAAAGCTTAAAAAAAAAAAAAAAAAAAAAAAAAAAACATGCTTTGTACTGTGGGATTTGCGGCCCATCATCGGGCAAAAGAACCTGTGCTCCGCGCCCGGCGCGCAACGTGCGCGCGACCCACGCTCGAGGCTCGGGGCTCGGCGGTCGGTTGGCTGCCACCAGAAAGTAAAGGTGTGTTTTTTCGGAGATCCGCCTCGTTGGTCCTTCTTGCGGGTGAGCAGTAGCACCGAACCCTACAGTGCATAAAAAAATTTAGGCTTCCCTAAATAAAAGGAATCATGCTGCACTTTTTTATTATTTATTTCCGCACGTTGTTTGACATAGCTTATGAATCTTGAGCACGAGGTTCGTGCTGTCCTTTTAATATTTGTTTTATATTTATTACGCAATTCTTGACGGTCATATTGCGGTGTTTGATTTTACTAGGAGTACCTTTAAGCCGGTGTCACACTGCTTAGAAATTACACAAAAGACAGACTGTATATATCAGTCACCACGATATCGGTGGCTCAAATGCAGACTTGTGCCCGTTACTTCAAAAAAGTAGTTAATTACAGTTACAATTACTTGGCCTAAAAAATAATGGATTACCGTTACAAATTACTCCCCGTAAAAAGTAATCGATTAATTACTTCGTTACTTGATTACTTTTGCGTTATTCCAAAGGAACACAAACAAGACACACTAACTAATGCGTGCTTGAAGGGAAAAATTTTGGGCCCTATCAAAATTAAAACAAAAATAAACGTATTCATTACCTTCTACCCAATATTTTAGGTTAATAATTTTAGGAGAATGAATTTATAAAGTTTTAAAGAACTTGAACAGGTGCTGAAGATAAACGAGCCTTGTGTTGTCCAACCGTGACAGAACTAAATCCCATGATCATGCGACGAATGCAGTTGGGCGGTGGAGGCACGCACAGCGTTCGAGTTAATCCGAGTTTGGCGTCGGCGAGCTTCAAAACACGATTTCCCCGAAGATATGTTTTTTCTACGTTTGCTGCATGTTGCCTATATAGGGGCTGGTTTACCTACTACACCGTGACCTACTAAAACTGACTGGCTGTGAGACCAAGATGCGGTACTTGCGTCTGGGTACATTTCAAAAACTGCAAAGAGTCCTCCTTGATGAAGGTTGTTATCCGTCCGAATGGGGCCCACTTGACCTTCTTCCTGTTGTGTATTAAAGTTCTCGCACCCCGGTCCTCACCGAGGAGTCGCGTATATTGAGGTGGAACCACGCGTCCGGAGAGCACCGAACCGGGCGCGTGTCAGGTTTCGTTTTCGCGTGCCTCGCGCGCCTGTGGACTCTGCGCCCCGCGAGACCGCGCGCGCGTCCCCGCCGAGCGTTGGAGCGACCCTCCACAATGTAATCCCGGCCAGCCACAAGGGCCGGATATATACTCTAATAAAGTTGCGTTTTTACGTATCAAGGACTCAACACTTCCTTGATCACCAAACTTTTCACAACCAAGACGTCACACAAAATATTAATGCACAATCTCTCAGCTGAACTGACTTTCCCGTCTAGAATTGATTAAAAAAAAGCCCAATTTTCAGTGGGCAGCACGCTTCCATGTCAATTCCACGCGTTTACAGGCGGCTTCACAACTGTAGTGTTGAAGTGAGTCACCATCTATTCTCAGAAAACTCGGGCTGTGTTTCCGTTTCCTAAAATTGCGGTCTAAGTTCCCGCAGGCCCAATCCGCTGATGAGAACCCTAGCATCCTCGGGGTCAGCTTGGATGTCCCAAGCCGTTTTGTAGTGCTCCCTGACCAGCAATCCCTGCTGTCGAAGGTTACTGTTTCAACTGACAGGAGGGTTGATGCTAGATTTTTCTTTGTTCCAATGAACTGCCGCCATCGCTCCCTCATATTTTTGCCCTACGGATCCGCTAGTGTGAAGTCAAGCGGCAGGAGCCACATAGCTACTTGGCCCAGCCAGTATTCAGCTTTCACAGCGCTTCAAGGATGAGCAGGGTCGAGGTCTCATCAGAGGTCGGCATTTTAGGTCGCCCTCACTCACCCTCACACTCACAGCCACACTCGCCTAAGCCCCTCACTCACCCTCACAGGTACACTCACCTTCAGCTTCTCACTCACCCTCACCCTCACAGTCACACTCACCTTCAGCCCTTCACTCAGATTCACTGAACCTCACGGCCCTCACGCACTCACCGCCCTCACGGCCCTCACCGCCCTCACGGCCCTCACGCCCCTCACTTACTCATGGCCCTCACGCCACTCACCGCCCTCACGCCATGCACTCACCGCCCTCACGGCCCTCACCACCTTCACCGCCCTCACGGCCCTCACGCACTCATAGCCCTCATGCCACTCACCGCCCTCACGGCCCTCACGCCACTCACCGCCCTCACGCCCCTCACCGCCCTTGCGGCCCTCACACCCCTCACGCCTCTCACGCACTGATGGCCCTCACGCCACTCAGGCCAGCTTCAGATGGGGCAATTTTGCACAGAAACTTTACGTCGCAACACCAGCAACACGGGCCGCCCGCGATCACACGCAGCAACCAATTGCTGCAATTTGCTATCGTAATCATAAAATGTAATTTTTCTTGCACTATTTAGGCACAATTACGCGTTATAAACGTGTTTTTATGCATTTAAATCTGGTTAAGAATACTAATGCACCTTTCTGAAACAGTTTATTCTCAAAAAACGATCGGTTTCAAGCCAGAACTAAGTCTTTCGGTGTCATCATCACCGGCACGAGGTATCACGTGAAAATTTTGCGTTCCTGATTGGATGCAGCCGCTTCAAACGTATTCGTATTGCTCCGAGTTGCTTGCTTATTTCGAGCCGAACCCGATCTCAGCAATTCGTGTCGATCTAGGGAAAGCTAGAGAACAACCCGCCATTAACACCAAAATTGCTGAGGAAGATGCTCGATCTGAAGGGGCCTCACGCACTCACCGCCCTCACGCACTCATGGCCCTCACACACCTCATGCACTCACCGCCTCACGGCCCTCACGCCTCTCATGCCACTCACTGCCCTCACGCACTCATGGCCCTCACACCCCTCACGCACTCACCGCCCTCACACCACTCACACACTCATGGCCCTCACGCCACCCACCGCCCTCACGCCCCTCATGCACTCATGGCCCTCATACCCCTTACCGCCCTCACCGCCCTCATGGCCCTCACGACCCTCACGGCCCTCACCGCCCTCACGGCCCTCACGGCCCTCGCGGCCCTCACGGCCCTCACGGCCCTCGCGGCCCTCACGGCCCTCACCGCCCTCACAGCCCTCACGGCCCTCACTCACCCTCGCACTCATGAATTTTCCTGGTTCAGAAACTCACTCACCCTCACCTCACCTGTAAAGATGGGGGGGGGGGGGGTGAGTGAGGGTGAGTGAGGGCCCTCATGAGTGAGGTTTGCCGAGGTATGGGTCTCATTAGGGCTGTCACTGTGTTTGCGGGGTGAGCGTCTGTATAGGCGGAAACAGATCAACAAGCAAAGCACGGTTTTGTTAAAAAAAAAATGTGGGGGAACAAGGCGCGGAGGAGTGGGGAGGGAAGGAGGGTAGAGGAAAGGGGGGGGGGGAGAGGAAGGAAGGGAGCGGACGTATGCACCACGGTCGCTCTGTACACGGTCCCACTTGACACGAACCCCACGCCACGGTTTTATGGTCCATTCGTTTTCTGCTCTTTTGTAAGCTTGAAGCAGTCCGTTCGTTTTCCAAGAACTCGAAGCCTGTTGCCTTTCTGTAGAGGGTCGAATCCTCCCAGCATGGGCTGACCGTACGAACGAGTCGAGAAACGGTCTCTGACTGGGCTGTCGTGCTTTCCGCGAATTCCTTTCCCTCACCAGCACATCACCAGAGTCTTGTGGTACCATATGCCAAAAAAGCGAAGGCCATTGCATCGCCCTTCTTTCCCTCTATTTCTCCCTTACGCGGGACGCGTGTTGCGCACGAGGCCTCCAAAGATGTCGTCTCTCACCCCGCGCGTGAGGACCCGCAGCTTCTTGTCGTCTGTGGCTCGTGGGTGGGCACGGGCGCTCAGGCGGAGGACATCTTCTACGAAGCTTGTGACGCTTTCGTCGGGGCCCTGCGTTCGAATTCGGAGGAGATCTTCTGCCTTCTCCCGTCGGTGTAGGGTGGCGAACGTTGGCTGCAACTCGGCCACACAGATGTCCCACGACGTAAGCGAAGCCTCGTGATTCTCGAACCAATGCCTCGCAGTACCCTCCAGCGAAAAGTAGAGGTTCTGGGGGCACTGCTCCGCAGTCCACCCGTTGTGGCGCGCCACACGCTCGTAGTGCTTGATCCAGTCTTCGAGATCCTCGTGGATCTCGCCGTGGAAGGGGGTCGGCGTACGGGGAGCGGCGGGCAGGTAGACGACGGCAGGAGCGGCGGGGGTCGGCGACTGGTTGGCCATCGTCGGCTTCGTTGGCTGCTTGGTCCTGGGCGGCAGAAGTCCG